TCGATGAGGGTCTCAATGCAACATTTACGGCTTAAGGTTAAAATTAGGGCCATTGTGAGGCTAACGTTTAATTTCTTTTCGTTTCGGTTACCAGAAACATTTTTACGGTTAACCTATTTTACGAGTTACAGTTAAAATTTCGAGCCTCTTTACACTTGAATTTTGCCACCATCCAGGTTAAGCGAAGCAAAGCTTCTCAGGGTGAGAGCTAAAGAGTTTTACCTTACTAGTTTATCGAAGTTTTAGCGCTTAATCTTTTCGAACTGCGGGAGTCACGGTGATAGAGTGTCAGAGAGCCAAAACCAAGATGATCACAGCAGCCTATCAGAACAAAGCACAATTAACCAATCAATGCTTGAGATAAACAAGCAGACTATCCGAAGTGCGGAAAAGCGTGAACTGCCAAGTCACTATTGATTTTAGTTTTACATCGGATTGGTTAAGCGGGTGGTTCGAGTTTTCTGGAACAATCATAGGGTGCTGTGAAATAAGTTCGGAATGCTTGCTCTGTGTTATATCGACACTATCATTATTGATTCTTCACTTCAGAAACATCGCCATGGGAGTGTTTGAAGGTGCAGCTGGGATTGGATCATTCTGTACTCCGTACATCGTATACTCGGTAAGCCGTTGTATTTATACGTGAGTGGTAAAGGCTTTTCTTTCCGTACCAAACGAACCTATAAAAAAAATAATCCGACGATTACAGAATCAGCAGTGCCACGGATGAGTCGTGGTAATGAGATTTGAAAAGCTGACTGTTTGATCATGAGCCCTTCGTCGAAGCAAAGCGTATTAACCTATCGAAAACTAAAATACTGACATTAACTGCGAGAGAAGTAACTGTGGAATAAGATCCGACACTGTGCCATTTAGATCGCAGCACTAAATTCTCTTGAAAAATATATATTGTAATAAGCAACATTTTCTTACATGGCTGACGAACAAAGAGAAGGGCCTGAGAAAGAGAAGATTTATACGTTCATGGAGCGCAACTGCACGTTGCACTTGCAAAAATGATTTCTTATTCACGATCGACCTTTATATGTTAGTGTGTAGGATAGGCTTGGGCTTTATATATTAATCTCGACACAAATGAATCTGGATGAAAAGATCAAGTTTCTTGTCTTTTTAGGAACGTTTTCACCCAATCTTACCTTACGGAATCATGGGATTGAACGCTTTAGTGGCCGGGTTATTCAGCATATTCCTGGACGAGACTCGGTACCAGCCCACATTAGAAACCGTGGAGAAGTCAGAGAAGAAAAAAGTTATCATATATTACCTTTGATACAGCTTTTTTTAAAAAACACACTTGTCTATGAACAGGGGGCAGTGTGGAATTGTAGTAAGATTCCGTAATTAGCGGTCAGACAGGAAAAAAATGAATGCGTAATTTAGGATGCCTCTAAAGTTTCTAAAGCTAGAGGGCGTGATATAGCTCAGTATAAACCTCGCGAGAAGGACCTCCTTATTATTGCTGCAGGACACGTGTTGCTTCAAGACAAGTCGTGGAGAGGTTTTCCAGGGGTCTGGCACCAATGATGAGGGATAGACCCCTGGCAGGCATCTCGCAGGCTCGCGTCGCTGAAGGCCTTATACTTTCCTGCGGATGAAGGAACACTTGTACTTATGCGATAATTACGCACACAACGGTAGCTACTCACATTAATGGAACAAATCAACTGGTACAAACAATAAGAGTGAAACATTAATGCAATAAGCAAGCTGTACAATGTACAGTTGTATTAGTATAAATGGATAATTTCTTCTTTAAAGACCTCCACATGTCATCGCTTCGATTTTTGTTGGCTCCTGAACTCTGATCGGTGGATTAGTCTACTTTCTTTTGTTTGTCAGGATATTCAATCTAATTGTGAAGGAAGATGATAATTACCGAAGTTGACGTCGTTACAGGGACGAATTTAAGTTTTCAATTTTTTCTTAATCTCTCCGGGAAAAGAAATCAAATTAACAAATTAAAATGAAATAAATGAATGGATAGATGGATAGATGGATAAATGGATAGACAAAGAAACTAACAGTCATCGATAAATAAACAAATACATTAATGAATGAGTAAAAAAAAAGGAATCTGCGTAAAGGTTTGGTTGTGTGATTTTGGATCTCTTGGTTAAAAGCACAGTTGGCATTCGATGATTTTGATCGAACAGAAAAGTTTTGTTCAAAGTTTGCGCCATCAGAGATGCAACACAACTGAGACTAGTTGCCTTACTTCATTGGGTGATTATCCTACGGCTTTATGAAAGGAGATAGACTCCACCGCTGCCGTATCTGTTGAAGCTGATCTTTTTCCTCGGCCCACAGACAGTGCTCAACATGTGCAACGTGTAAGAACTCCTGAAATTTTAAATCAGCTCCTTTGACAAGCTATATGCTAACAATGAGGTATGGGTTCAAGAGAATCAGAGGATATCATTGGCTTGGGAGCTTCTCCGACTTTTGCACCTGTAACTTCATTCAAATGAGAATTAACTCTCTTTAGATGTCATCAACGAACCTTAAAATGGAAGTTATGAATCAATATCAGTATCTGGGCAACTGCCCACCTACCCCTCCCCTCACCCAAAATTAACCCTAACTTGTTATCAATTAACCCTAACTTTTATCAATTGACTGTTGTTGAGTTAGGGGAGGGGTAGGTGGGCAGATACTGATATTGATCCGAAGTTATCAAATTATCATTGCGCTATAAAATTATCACAGTGGACGAAGTAACCAACTCAATCATTTTTCTGTAATATGTACTAATGAAAACTTTTTATTGTTTTTTTAGAGGGCACGGTAACGAATCTTGCAATCTGATTGGTTCTTTACCCGGTCAGTATTTTCCTATCTCTGCCCACGGGCCACGGTAACGCTTTCGTGAGTCTCCGAGTACATCCCAACTTTCGTTGTCATTTTTCATAAATATACCTCGTTTTCCAGCTGGGCAGTATTTTTAAGCAAACACGTCGGTCACTACCTCAAGCCGATAAATAACTTATGAATCCTCCCTTTTCTCTCTATCAAATCACTTTAGTTGAAAGAAAAATATTGGTTTCAGAATGAATTTGTATAAACAGTAGTGTCATTACGTTGGTTGACAAGCGGCCTAAAAACCGTCTGCAATTAATTTTAATCGTTCACAAAAAGTACCCAGAAAGTTGAAAGGTGAGGTATTTGGTTACAGTTAAACTGAACGATGGAACTTTCATTCATTTAATATCTGAATTTTCTCGAGCAATTTGTTCATAGTAAAAAAAAAAGCGAGCGAAGTTTTAATTTAAGTTCTACAACAAATATACGCTCCTGGTGAGTCTTTCCAATTCCGTTCAATTTGGACATTTGTACCTTAAATTGCACGAACAGAAATTGAAGGAATTGAGAAAAGGCTGCATTAAATTCCCTTGTGTCTCGTTGGAGTGTGCCGTTCGAATTTAGTTTTTGTGAAGGAAAGATCAGAGTTAAACACGCCATTACAGCAAACAAACGAGCAAACTCTCACAACTTCAAAATAAAAAATTGAATTTACTCACAATTACTTTCCTCGCCGTTTACTTAATGAACAGAGGTAAATCTTCGTACATGAATGAATGGTCGATGAGAGTAAATAATACTTTCCGTTAGATCATTAACTGATTTTTAAGAAAACATTGTCGTGACAGTCCTTGCCAAACTAGTTCCGTTGGTTTTCAAATGTTCCTACGATTTTTTTTTTCTTGCGCGCTCTCTAATTGACAGGTGTCAGATTGTGACAGATACTTGTAAAAATAATGTTTCAAAGTTTGTTTGGAAGCCTTTTAAATCACCTTTATCGTTACGGAAATGAAAATGTTTCGCTGAGGCATCTCTCTTAAATTTGCATCACCTCTATTTTAACTTCCATTTACTCACTCAAAAATTGTTCAGTTTATGGAAGATCTTGCCGTATTTACGGCCATAAGTCATTCGGGTTCTTTCGGAAAGAATTTCGTCAAGTTTAAAAACAATAAATATGTTATTTACCGGCTAAGGGTCGGTCCGTATGGTGAAAAACTGTGACCTCGGTTTTGAAAATGCTGCCCTCGGCCTACGGCCTCGGGCAGTATTTTCAAGACCTCGGTCATAGTTTTTCACCATACGGACCTCCCAGCCGGCAAATAACATATATATATTGAGTGTTAGCACTGTAATAGGCAGTTTCTCTTATTTCAAATTTTACTCCGGGGACAAATCTTTTTTTACCAAATAATCGACAATCGGGGCTTAGGTGGCACTGGAACTCCGAGCAGTTTGATCGAGAACTTCGAAATTTCTTCTTTTCTCAGTTGTTCTGTGCGAGGTGCTAATTTGCATTTAGATATGAAGACATCTTCCTAAGTACTCCTTATCGTCTTTCCAGATTGGATATTTAATTTTTCACTATTTATGACCTTGTCTTTCATTCCAAAGCAAATAGAATGTCATATGATACTCCACTTATATATATTTCCGTTACACGACGAGAGAACAATTCTGGGTCACTCTTCCAATTAACATCACTAGGTTTGCAACCAGATTTTATTCTGATAATATTGTTTGATGATCGTATGAATTACGATAATTTACCTAACGTAACGCAAGGAGATTTTTGGTTGAGTCGACTTCCTATTGCAGAGGTACTCTTCAAATTTTTTTAGTTCACTTAAATTTTAATTGGCTAAATTCTAAAGGGCGTGGAAAGAAATTGCGTCTAACAGTGATTTTAATGAGAATGCATTGACGCACTAATTAGAAAAGTTTAACAGAAATTATTTACTATTCATTTAAACGGCTTAAAGAGCCATCTGTGTTTGCTTTGTAAGACATATTGTATTGATCTTTTTGCAAAAGAATATTACCAAATTTGACACTATTTACCTTTGGTGCCTCACAGTTTTAATTTAACCGTCATGCTGATTAAAACCGAACACAGGTTGACCACAATACAGTGGTACTTCAAACAATAATTAGTTGTTTCTGGGGAGGATATACTTGAATCGATAGAGCTTACATTCACGATTCATTCACGCTATTCTAAAAATGGACTTTGGCTTCTCTTAATTTTAAAATGGCACATGTTCCATAGTCAACTGGGAGGCTTAATCGTCAGTTGTGGTTTTACTTGAAAATCAAGACCTTTCCCAAAGGTAAAGCACGTTATATGTTTTTGCTTGTATTTGTCTGTTCACCGTAGAGTGAATTATGATGACAGAATCAGGAGACTTTTACCTTAATTTTGAGAATTGAGGCCTCGTGCCCGATAGTCTTGAAAAGGGTTCGTGTTTAACGCAAGATTGTAAGTTATCGCCCAACGCACGATTTAATATATTTGTTAATGTCCAGCCGACTGCAGTGTCGTTTCTTTCCATCGTTTCCTTTCGCCACAATTATATACCGTTAAAAATTTACCAAAAATAACATTTCATATAAAGAAACGCGTTTTCCTTTATATTATGTCGTATACCATACATTTGGAAAAATAACCATTCCGACATAGTTTTCTGCTGATTTCATTCGACTCCACTGAATAACAATTTTTTTTTATTAAAAGAGTGAAGATATCGGGAGACAAAGGAGTCAGTGAGGTCGTCCACTGATGCCTTGTTTGCTCATCGATTCAACAGTATTCGTTGCCTGTTTAGAAAAACTTCATTCATAAATTGAGCATGTCGTCGTCTTACTAAGCCTCGACAACTCTTCGTGTTCTTTCTCTTGCCGTTTTTCTTACGTTTTTATTGCAATAACGTTCTTTTAAAATATCTGTCGTCAACTTCGATGTAAAATCTTAGCGTGCGGAATGTATTCAATCATTAATTAAGGTGTCCCTTTTGTGTTGTTGCTGTTTCTCGTCGTCTAATGTTTTTTCACCTGTTAGTTAGCTTCTGTTTCCCATATTACATACTTTCGTTCATTATTCTTTCTTTCGCAATTATTGGCGTCAATTAAACTTTCAGCTAATCGTTTTCGCATGCATTGATTTTTAGTTTTTCGTGCGTATATAAACTTAGTTTTCTCTGTTCAGGGCCTTTTTCTTTTCGGTAGTCGCGCTAGTCGCAGTTCGCTTTCAAGCAGTTCCTTTATTCTTCATTTCGTCTTCGGACAGTGTTTTTTAGTCAAGCGCAGTTTTGCAGTAATCGTAACAATGTAAGTATTGTCATTTCAAGTTGGCTCAGGGTATTTCTTTCTTATCACCTTTACTTAATCAATTGTTGTAATTTGTATTTATTTATTATTTTTAAGTTTCAACCCACGTCGTTCACCGTCAATAAATCGCCTATTTTATCAGTAATTGTGGTGTTGAGAAGTTACGGTTGCCGCAGTCACATTCGATGCTGTTCCTCTTAATCAATACGTACTATCCAAGGTATGAGAAGAATTTGCTAATACATACATGTAAATAGCGGTTTTAACGCAGACAATTTTTATGACAAAGATTTGATTCTTCGTTGCAAAATGAAGGAGAAACATGGAATGACTTAGCGGTTCTTGGGTAACCTTTTTGTAACTATTTGGTTGATATCTTTGTATCTATCTCAGACATATAACCCGTTTTTTGTTTCTCTCGTCGAAATGTACCAGGGTATGTAGTTATCACATAATTAGAGATCGACGTTATTTTCGGAGCTTTTCCATTTAGAGGACGGTAAAAGAGTAATTCGTATCTGTATCTCCTTTTTACTTTTCCTTTTCCGTTTCAGTTTAGTGGTGACTTGAATCACAATATCAATTACATTCGTGACATTTGTTTGTTTTTCAAAATAATTATCCAAAAAAACAATTATGATCTGCAGAAAGAATTCATCCTTACAAACTGGTCCTTTGCCAAATATCGAATTTGTTTTTTTCCTTCTTGTTTTTTTCATTAAAAGCACCATTGCTATCGATGTATAGCTAATGATCAGTTCACATACTTTTATCTTTCACACACTTTTTTTTTTATTTTCACACTTATTTACAACATATTCCTTTGACCCCCAAATAGCAAATGCTAATCGAGGCGGGTCAATTACAAATACAATTGGTTTCCCTCAGGTTCAAAGTTTTCAGAGCAGAATGAACGGCCACATGACATCAGTTCTATTTACGATGTTTCTAATGATTGGTCTCAATTATCGCCAAGTGACAGCTCTCTCAAGCAGATCAGGTAGAAATGACATGACCAGACGATCAAACTAAGAAACTTAATCTTTGGTAACGTCATATGTTCGTTGAATTTAGTTGCTAGTCAAGGTAAGGATGTTTTGAAATATCCGCCAAAGGATATACAACGGTACGATGAAAATTACTGGTATTAACTAATGCATATTATTCTGGCTGTGTGTATGTGCGTGTGGGTGTTTTTTCTTTTTCTCCCACGATGACTTTCAGCATCAAAAAGGCTTATAGACTGAACTTTCAAAAATTTTTTGCACAGCGCAACGGATGACATTTTGACCTTTTTTTTCTGATAAATTACTGAATTGATTCTAAATATCAAATGATTCATAGAGATCCTAAGTTCGTCTCTTACGAGACAAGGGTAGTAATGTCACATTGAGAAGCTTGATATCGGCAAAAACGATTTTGGACTTAACTTAAAAAATTAAGGCAAAATAAGTGCCGTATACAGCACAGTTGCTATAAGTCGCCCCATGCGCTCTTACTCATAAACTATTTTAATAGGATATTTAAACTGTTTCGATCTAAACTATTAAGATGGATAAAAAAGTTTTGTGTGTGTGTTTTCACAGAATCATTCGATCTGCACTTTCCACAACATTTGGATGGATACGCTATAGCAGAGCCCAGTTCCCTTCCTGACATGGTATCATTCACGGTCTGTTTTTGGATCAAGTTATTGCCACACCCTGGATCGGCGGCGCCAACAACTACCTTGTTGTCTTATTCTACTACTGATTACGGAAAGGCTTTTCACTTGGAGACAAAAGGAACTAGGATAAATGTTGATATAGATGACCAACGTCACCTGTAAGTTTCTGTTTGTTTGCAGTCAATCATTATTTCACTTCACAGAAGTTATATACATGTTTATGAAACTTAAACACCTTTTAGCCTACAAACGAAAACCAACAAATCGACAAGGGGCAAGAGAAAACTGGAGAAGACTGATACGGTTGCGCAGCAAGTAAATCATTATGTCCTATTTAAGTTCTTCTGTATTTCCAGCTATCTACAACCACACGGCAACCTTTACGATAACAGTTGGCAGCACGTCTGCATCATTTGGCACCAAAAACTTCATAAAATTGGGTTCTACTTTGAAGGCACTCATGTACAAACATCAATGGTTATCAGATTAGGTGAGACGCCCAACAGATTTATACTGACTCGTTTCAGAGTACTATGGTTACTTGATAGAATTGCAAGGCTCCGTATCAATACCTAGTTTAATTATTTCCTCTACCACTGTTAAGATAATACATGAAGTAGTGATTTTTTTTTTATTTTAACCCATGTCAAGCAGACCAGTCAGCAGGTGTTGGAGTGGATGGAAGGGTGGGAGAAACAGGCGTCAAACGAGTTGTGCTATTTGAGGAACTGAGTTTCTTTGACCCGTTATCGCTAAAGTTCATACATACTCCTTAACGGCGAGATTAAAAGTTCAGTTTTCTACGGTGCACATTTCTATTTTAAGAGCTGATGTATCTCATAGTTAGTCTATATGTAATTAAAGTTGTATTTACCCTAGCAAGTATTCTTGTCGAGGAGGAAATGTTCGCTGTGCATCGTTAGCAAGGAAATCTTGTTTGTCGTGCGGTCAAATCATCTGAAGAGAGTAGGTATTGTATTTCCTCAAATAAACGCCTGGGTGCTCATTCAAAATTTCGGCTAAAAGCAGGGGCACTTATTGGAAGAAGAGCGCTTAATCGAGTGGGAGTATGTATTAAGAAATTATGAACCAACATTGATTCCTTTGTAGTTGAAACTTAAAAAAGTTATAAAGAAAGTGGCAATAAAAACAGGTTTTCCTTTTATCCCTATTATTTAAGAAAGTGAAGGTGGGGGAGGGGGGTGGGGAGTTGTTTGCAGCCTGAACGAAAGTCAACTTTAAAGTCAAGGGACTTGAAAAACACTTGTCAAACAGCCTCTGATGAAGACTTCTGATCTGGTGGTCATTTACCGACAATAGCCTTTTCAGGACTTCTCTTATCCAGATGATCAAAAACACGATCGACTATTACTACCGGCTTCAAACCATACAATGGAACCAAAAATTTACGACGACGTTTCATTGAAATAAGTAATAAATAAGTGGAGTAGAATTTCTTTTAAGCACCCCTGCAGTTCCTCTTTTAAAAAAGAGTTTATGTTAATTAATCAGTGCATTTAAAATTTCGTCACATTGAAACTTGTCCTCTAAAAGTCCACTTGATCGGGATCTTCCATGTTAGTCCTTGGTTTTACGACAAGAGCACTTCCTCAGTGAACCTTATTTCTTTCAAACTGTATTGCACAGGAAAACTGGACTGTTAGCAGTCTATTTTACTCTCTGCGAGGAGCGAGAAGACACTGACACAAGATAAGATTTGGATGAAAAAATTCTTGTCGACCCAGCCCTTCACAATTTTGTGACATCATTCCTCTGCAAGCCAGCAATATCGTAAAAAAAGACAAAAATAGCAAACCCCACCTTTTACAAACACCTATTGAGGTTAACAATATCTGGGGATATTTTCGTTATGTATATTGAGCTGAAATACAATAATTTTGTGGTACATTTACCCTCAGATAAAGGTCTTAAAGGAGGTGGTACATTAGTGCTTGGTGCTCTGAGGAAGGGGTCTGGTGAGTTCGTTGAACGTTTAAACGGAAGTATGAGTAACCTGAGGATCTGGAGTAGGGAATTGACAGCAGAAGAGATAAAGAAAGTCTATGACAGCTGTGACTTCATCAGAGGAAATGTATTCAATTGGTGTGAAAACGTGGTCGCCCCAATGCTTAGAAAAGGCGTTAAAATTGTGTCACCCTCTACTGCGTGCAGTTCCAGTTTATGTGAGTAGAACTCTGCATTATAGAGCGCTTTTGTATTGAATTTCGCCGTTAATAAAGCCAATAAGACCAAATAAAACTCAAATAGGACAGACGTAACCGACCTAAAGTACTAGAAATGCGAGGAAACAGCTTATAGCTGCTTTCAGTTTCGCATTTGATTAAGAGTACGAAATATGTGGATTGATTCAAGCAAAACAACACCTATGTCGTCCCTAATCGCATTATTGAATGAATAAAAAATCTTGTTTTTCACCGTAAATCTGCAGCCTCTTCTTTTGAGGAGTACATTCTGTGATTTGATTTGATTTCGTTTGTTTCCCCCAGATCGACAATCGATCTTTACGAGACGAGAGAACTTCAAACTCTTGGGACATGTCATTACTCAGAAATCAGTGCGGGACGAGTTTACGTGCGGGTTACACTGCTTACGATCTTGCAGTTGTCAATCATTTAACTTGTTTAAACAGGGAGAGGACCACTACTTATGTGAACTGAACAGTGCGAAAGACAAACGATAAAGACGTTACGTATCATACAATGTTGTACGACTAAGGGAGAAGCAATTTGAAGACCTTTGCTCTTTTTCAAGTATAGAGCAGTTTTCCTCGAGTTGTTGGAAAACAAAAGCCATAGTAATAAATAATAATGAGAACAAAGTAAAATGTCACTAGCAGCCGATTGAAACTTATAGTTAAAAAAAAGCTGCCTGAGGCGCCCGCAGGAAGGGGCAAATGATCAAGTCGCGACATGTCTTAGTTTCGCATCTGATTGGTCGTGCTTGCGGTTAATATTCTGGACCATTCATATAGCAGAGTACAAAAAAAAAAGCAAGCTTGAGTTACTTTCAACACTAAATTGAAAATCGCTCTAAAAACCATGATTTAGCGAATCAAAGTTCTGAAATTAGGACAATCAAGGGCACATACACAGAGTAATAAGTTCAAAGTTTTGTCAAAATTTTGTGCGTAGCTATATTTGGCCCCAAACAGAATTGAATACTTCGTAGGTTTGTAGCTTTGGTCAACAACCGAGTAAAGCCTTCTGTTTGCTGACAACATGTGCTGAGTTACATTTAAGTCAGCATTAAGACCTTGGTTAACGTTACCGATGTTTGGTGCGTCAATTGCGGCTTAAGGAATAAAAAGACCTAAGAAAAGTAGTAGTTTATGCTCTGTTGGAGATGGATGCGTCAAGTTACAAGTTTGTAGTTTTGTTGAGAAGTATTAACTGCTAGCCGAACACTTGTTCCGTTTAAATAAACATTGCGATGTCGGAAAACAGTCGCCAAATATATTTATATAAAAAACTATCTTGAAGAACAAAACGGGGGTAAGTTTTTGAAGAAATTGTGGTTCTGCGTCGGTGGGGTAGTATGACAAGATAATTTGGTGTTATCGACAGAGTTGATGATGTAAATTGGCCACTGCAACGAGTTTGTAAAGCTGACGTTTCGAGCATTAGCCATTTGTCAGAGCGAATGCAATGACCGATACCTCGTCCCCAGCCGAGTCCCCACACACTCCCCACGAGAATTAAGCTTTCGATCCCACTGGAACAGAGGTAAATACCACCCCGGAAGCCTAGTAGAAGGAAACACACTTGAAGCAGCCTCAAGCACGGGAACACGCACGTCACCAAGCTATTGGTTTTAGTTTTGCATCTGATTGGTTAGGAGGTAGGATGACGTGAGATTTCAGTACCAATCACAGATTAGAGTAAAGTAAAACGAAAGTAGTCCCGCATTACTCACGGCAATCAATCGAAATTGCATTCACCACAGACGACTTCTGTTAACTGAATGCTCATTAAGAGTCGATTCCTTTATCAATGACAGCTTGTTTTGTTAACTGCGAACAGCACATTGGGTACGACTGTCCATGTAAATAGAAGGCAGATAGATGTGTTCGTCTTCCACGAAAATAAAGACACTGCTGTTGTCATGCTGTCTGTTCCTTTAGCTTTTAAACAAAGGGGCCTTCTCTGATTTTGAAGAGCAAGAGTTGAATCAGCGAACAGATTCTTTAAATCGATGATTCTTCCAGTTTTGGATTGTTGTGGTGCTGTTTTCCATGAACGAGGTAAAGGGAATGAAGAAGGTCTAAAATGCCTACAAAGACGAGGTGGTTGAATAGTCTTGAATACTGCTCATTTGTCCACCGAACAGATGGTTACAAGTCTCGGTTGGGTCACTCTTACGAGAAGAGAAAACCTCAATGTTAAACAGGTTGAAGAGTGCCTCAAGGGAATGGCCTTAAGTTATTTCTCCAAATATTTTCAAATTAAAAGACATAATATTCACCATTAGGACATCAGGAATAATAACAAACGAGTTACTGATAGGGTTAAATAAGAATCAATTAAAGAGCGTTTTTTTTTATAAAGGAGCAGATATTTTGAATAATTGTGCTGAATCTAGTTTCAATCTTTCTATCTCTTTTTATATTTTTGGATTTCTTGCTTACTTGATCCTTTATTTTATTATTTACTCATTTCTTCATTTTACGCAGGACCCATGTTAATAGCATTTTTTTATAACTGAAATGGTCATCCTGCATAAATATGTTTTTTTATTATTATTATTTCAATTATATTTACACTGTAGTACCACAGCAACGAAATAAATTCCGTATTAATGATAGCTTAATTTGGAAATGGCAAAAAGTCTGACGCTGACCAGCAAAGAAGATCGCCTCCCGGGTTAAAACTCTTCAAACTATTTTCAAGAATTGTCTACGTTTCATAACAACTGCTGGTATAATTACTTTCCGACGAGCGAGTCACGAAGTTCGATAAGTGTTTCTCTTACAGAGAGATTAGCAGGCATGTTGCATTTTGCTACCACGCCCTGCCTTTTAAAACCTCTTGTCGCTGTAGGGCGTATGCAAGTCTACTAATCACAGTCTATATTTAGCTATCAAGCTTTCTTATTTTTTTGCAAACTCTTCTAAAGGGTACTTTACCCCATTCCTGCTCCTTGCCTCTAAAATACATTAAATTCCTATAAGTGTATAGTGTCAAATTCATACCATTAACGTTTCCAAAAATTCGGATCATTCGTCATTTTCCTCTGATAATTTTCATACCACTTTTGTACCACACTTAAGGGTACAAAGCTCTCTGAGGGGTTTGGCGTCATTTGCCCCTGAGTAATGGCAAATGATGAAGCAAAATTGAAGAAATTCTCTAACATTTTTTGTGTGTACTCTACATATGAGTTCAAGTTTGACGGTGTTGTGTGACTTGCTGGAGTCTGCTGGGCTAACTGGTCCAGGGGCTCAATTGAGATACCAATTTGAGCCCCTACCTGGTCAAGAGCCATACCAGCATTCAATGCAAATGGATTCTGTACTCTTTCCTCAGGCCTTGCCTGAAAATCAAGTGGCAAAATAAGTTTGAAAATTATGTTCAACTTATTGTGAAATAATTCATCTCAAATTTACTTTGAAAGTTAGAGGTTGTTTGCCTCAATAGGAGAATCAGACCACTTTAACATCAGCAATGCTTAGAAGCAACCTTGGATAGGGCCCAAGAACCGAACATTGCAACAATTGTTTCATAGTTGCAATTGAGTCTTTCCTTTTGGTACAGGTGTATATCAAATAATTCATCTCAAATTTACTTTGAAAGTTAGAGGTTGTTTGCCTCAATAGGAGAATCAGACCACTTTAACATCAGCAATGCTTAGAAGCAACCTTGGATAGGGCCCAAGAACCGAACATTGCAACAATTGTTTCATAGTTGCAATTGAGTCTTTCCTTTTGGTACAGGTGTATATCAGTTGAATTCTTTCGTCTACCAAGTAGTATGAAAGCTTTGCTTATCCAAGTTTGACTTTGCTGAATAATGACTCTTAATATTTTGTGGGAACAAATTTTTACAATTCAAGATGTTCAAATTTTCTACAGCATGGAACTGATATTTGTCATTTGCTTCCAAGCTGCAAAAAATTAACCAGGAGGAATATTTACAATTTTCAACTTCATTCCTGGTTTAAAAAAGCTATCCTGTATATTTTGCTTATAAAATATAATATTTGCATTTAAACAAAAGAGAACTCTTCATATGTTTACGTAAACATGAGTTGGGAGAATTAGGAAAACTTATGCAAACCCTGAACTGTGTCTTGATTTGCTTATTGACATAATAACTCACCTTTGCGAGTTTAAATATAGCACTGGGCTTGTTGTTGCCAATGAATCCAAGCAACTGTGATGTTGGTCCTTCAGGAGTTGGATAACAATAATAAACTCCTCCACCCATCCCATCTGGAAAGGGTGTGACACCCGTCAGGAAGACAATCACATGGTGAATTCTTTCAACATCAGCTAAGTTGAAAACAAATTGGGTTGGTCCAACTTGTTGGGCATCTGTTTGAACCTTACCAAAGAAAATCAAAACATGTTTCAAATCTTACTCAGGTTTCATTGTTACTGGGATACTAAGTAAGTATAGCTTAAGTAAAGTGCAAACTTCAGAGATTAATATAACAAACTGTTCCAAACTTTAACTCTTAAATTATAGAAAATATAAAAAATAGGAGAAAGAAACCAAACATGGAAATCAATGAGCTTACTCATTGATGGTAAGACATACAAAACACATGAGCCTGCCATGAATACACCTACATTCATATGTCAAACAATGGTTCATGCATATGTGAGTCCTCTATGAGATATGAAAAATATAGGGAAGCATATAAGATGGGTAAGAGTTTCTCCAAATAAAATATGATTGTAAACAAAACAATATTTTAAAACATGACCCTGTCTTGTTAAGTTTTGAACAACTGTTAGAATTCTACTAAGTCTAACACAGTTAAATTATTCATTCTGGATTTCTACAAGTGATTGAATTCACATGCTCATAATCTAATATTGTTTAATGATACAAGTTAATTAAGGATGACCTTCAACACCAAGGTATTACAATTGCAGGAATTTTCGGTTTCTGGCTCTTTCTTTAGTGACTACGACGTTAGTTAGACATATATTTCGATATATTTCATATATTTCAATGGAATAAGACCAATGTGATCTAGCATATTTTGGCTGTATAATGACAACACAACATCTTTTAAAAGCTATCCAATGATTAAAAAAGGATATGAATAGAATTTTCCAGATCATCCTACAGGATAGAAACAACCCCCCTCACGAGAGGTCGATTTCCCTACACATGTATGTTTACGAAATAGAAGGAAATGCATGTTCTTTGAGTGAAAAAATGATTTCTTGAAGAAAAGACAAACAATAACATAAATGAAAACAACAAAAACAAGCACGTGCATTCAATTTGACAAATTTGTCAATTCTCTCCCATATTTATGAGAGGCAGTGAGTTCACCGGGGTACGTTCAGCGATATTTTCTGTTCTTACACTACAATAAAACCTCTCTGGCAATTAAAAAATACTTACTAAACGTCCAGAGACAATGCATCCAAACATATCGACGCAGATCGCTGCTCAGATCGGTGTGGCCAGTTGAAAGATATTGTTTTGATAATTCGTCTGACAGACTTAAGTCCATTTTACCAGCGGTCAACTAGAGGTTATCGAATTATGGTAATGTAATAGTCATATAGTGTCTCAGCGAAAGAGTTAGACGAAGATGGGTAATGTGGCCCTACAGGGCCCTGCACAGTCCTTAATAGTCTGGCATGGTCCTTCATAGCTCCATATAGCCATATCAAGCTAAATCCTGTCTGGCTAACTGACTGAGTTACTAGTTATACCTGCCTAACTGACCGCCGGCTGACTTCAAGTCTGTCACACTCTCCTCTAACTCCACAATGGTTTCTTTTTTTTTACGTTGAGGGAGTTAATTTAAATTTTCTTTTTTTGGCTTCCTATCATTCATATGACTTTTAAAATATGTCTTTCGTTTTCTTTTGTTATCTTTCCCTTATTGTTGGTGAGTTTCCTATATTTTGGTGTTCTTTTGACAATCAACACATTTTGATCAGGTGGCATAGTTTCTCAAACCTAAACCTAATCCTCCGTCAAAAATATGATCCTCTACTCATTATTACTTAAAAAAAGTTTATTTTAAGATTTTTTCCGTTTTACTGTTTTGTGTAATTTGATATAAGTTTTGAATTCAACAGGTTATGATAGCTTGCACGAAATAAGCTCGAACAGAATTGAAAATGAACTCATTTAAACTTAATAGAAACAAATTCCAAGGTGTACTAAAGGTTTCTTGTAGCAGGAAAAAGTCAAAGAACCTATACTTGGAGCAAATGCTGACACTAGAGCATACTAAAAGTATTCTAAACTCATTTCCTCATCATTTTACCAAACAAGGAAATTGTCTTTGCCAAGCGCGAAAAACTTGAAGATTAGGACCCGCTGCCACCCGCCAGATTCAAGACATGAATTTTTGAACTATTCTTCGCTCGCTTGATTTTTCGCTGTTCTGAACTTCGCTTCATCATGAAATATCTTTGGAGAATCCCTGGCTAGAGGAAATTCAATTGACTTTTCGACAACATCATGAGTGAATAATCAACTGTTCCCTGTCGTGTGCAGTTCTGGCGTGCATCCTACTTCAACTTGATTTAGATAACGCTGATTGCAAAGTAACAAAGGAAATCACGTGGATATTTGCTCGCTTTTAGAATTCTGAGGAATTGATAAACTTTTCTGAAAATTACACATTTTTTATAGCACTGTTAATTACTTAATAATCTTAGAAAGGCTTGGCGATTCAAGACTATTGCAAATCAACGTTTTGAAATGTGGAGACAGCCTAACGAGATTTTCATGGTCACGTTTCTCCTAATTCTGATTTTTTCACCAGGTGAGTGAGGGTTACATATTTTGACTTTTAAACCCGAATTTCAATAGAAATGTCACCTGAAAAATATTATTATAGTGATTTCCTTAAGTTTCCCAAGAGGAAATGTGTATTTGGTCTGAAGACCTGTTGCTCGTGCTGGTTTTTATTCAAATTCAAACCTTAGCCTATAACAAGAGACAATTGCTATTTTTAGTATTTAATTGCCTAAAGTTGATCGAAGGAGCTCTAATTTCTGCCGGCATAATTTGCTTAACTGAAAACTTGTAGTAAATTGAAACTGAGTAACGTTTTTGGGCACCAAACTACATTTTAAAATCAGATTTTTAAAAATGGTTCCGTCCTTTCTTTCATGGATTCCATGTCAAACCTATTGGAAACAGTACGTTCGCTGCAGTGCATAGAGACATAAAGTTTAAAATCAAGACAACTTCCTTGCTGAACATAAAAATATTGCATGTCTATTCCAAATCATTTTTCAAGAGTCGTAAAATGAAAATAGGGTTAGAGAAGACCTCACAGTGCCCGTTTAAGTGCTGTCGGTAAGATGAGAGTGTTAGTAACTCGACATTCAATTCATAAATTTGCTTTATGTCCGATGATTCATCTATATCGATGTCACACTGTGACCTTGGCTATAACTACTCCATACAATAAGTACTTTAGAAGTATGGCGAGGTTCTGAAATATAATGGAAATGAGAGGCAAAAAGACGAGCTTCCAAAGAGCGCACAGTGTAAGGAGTGTGCATAAGTTTGAGAACCAAAGTTTCCGAATGGTCTGCTGAAAATATCTCCAATCAGTATTTGAAAAATTATGTTGTGATTTTTAAAAGTATGTTTTTCAGTCTGGAATTCTGTCACGAAAATGCTTTTTAAACTCTTCTTCAACCAGCATCGTTTGAGTGGGAGCTTGAAGCTCTTACCTAAACATACCCCTCTTCTTTCGATTACTGCCTTGTTAGTTTAATCAAGCAAAGTGCTTTCGATTGCAGTTTAAATTGTTTCGGTAACTGCAAAAGTAAAGTCTAAACTTCTTGGGTTTTTTTTTAGCACTTAACTCTAACTTAATGAACTGAACATTTTTTACTACAATGTTTATTTGCAGTAACTCCGTTTGCACTTCAACGCTTCAACTGTCCAAAAAGCTACACATTTCCAAACGCTCGTCTTCGAGGTGGTCTCCAAGCTGGTAAGTTTAAAAGACTAGGTCCTCCAGATGATACCGAGCTTTGTGTTCAGCGGTGCTGTGATCAGAGGTCATGCGACCTAGTTGCGTGGATTGGTGAACACTGTTACTCAGTGTCTTGTTTCAGCCGTGAATTATGTACACCAGTGAGGTTAGCAAGTTACAACAAAGGCATGAGGCTCTTGTATATCGCATCGAGAGAAGACGCCGAAGACGAAGGTATATAAGTCTTATTTTAGCCAACAAAGCTCTTTTTTCTTAAATGAGTGTATAAAGAAAGGTGTTCTCTGATTGGTCCACGAAACACTCCTTACTCTTTCTGGGCTACTTAAATAAAGCCAATTGCAGCATTGAATGAAAGAGGAAACTGTAGAACGCTACTTCATGATAAGGAAAAAAAATCTCAGTCAAGACTTAATGGAGGCAAAACATTTTTTGTTCTGTTTTCCTATGAACGCTGCAAATATAAATCATATTCTGGCTTCACAGTTTGGTCAATTTAATGGTTTGTTTAGAGGTTTGTATTAATTAGAAATTTTAAACCTCCACAAGGGAACCTAATTTTATGATTTAAATGCCAATCTATATTGACCTCTTTGAAATCCAAGTTCACACTGAAGCGTTAAAAGGCGGTTTCGGATAAATTTACCATGCATTCTATGTTTCAGCAGAGCTGTTAGTCTCATACGTTATAGCCATTAATCATGTGACGGTAAGGGTTCGATTATTTAACCCAGTAAGCTGTCCATGACCGTACTCAATGAGAGCGTTTCATTATGATTTCCATAAAAGGCTAGATGCTATCACAAAGACCTTTTGTCATTTTCAGTTGAACCCAATCGAAGAGAAGTCAATGATATTTTCCACTCGTCACAAAGTGATACTCGCTCATTCAACATTTCAAAGAAGACATCGTTGATTGAGGATGGAGACCTGGCAGTTAAGAAGTCCACTACCGAAGATAGAAGAATTATTCGCTCGTTGGAGGAGGTTGAAGACGAAGAACATTCTGGTTCCATTGAAAAGAATGGTATCAACGAAAGTGCCAACAACAGCCACGAAACTATATTGTTCAGCGGAAATTTTTATGAACGCGGCTCAGAAAGTATGAACTTCAAAATGGAACAGCCCTCTGGCGGGGAGGACTGGGAAGGAGGCCTACTTAATGAGTCAGGAACCGAGCAGGACGATGACGTCACTGATGACATAATTCAGACACAAACTCACCCAGTGACTGCGGTGAAAAGAACAGAAATGGCGTCTGTGGTCAGTCCCAGCGATATAGAAGAATTTGAATCCAGTTCGCAGTCCGGTAGCGGAGAAAGCTTACTAGATGACAGAATAGAAGAGGAATTGAGACAAGAAGGAGGGGAAGATTCCTCCGCTGATTTTAGTTCTTTAGGTTCAGCATTCATTCTTGACGAAAAGCATGCAGACGGGTCTGGTAAAATAAACAGAACGATCATGCGAGAGGTTCAAAGTAATTTGCGTAAGGTGTGGCGCTATGCTGCGGCCGGTAAGAGCCTCGGAATGATGTCCAAGGGACCAAAGAGTAAGGAGCAGGAGCAAAAGGCCCAAGAGATTTATAACTTGGTGATAAAACATGAATCTGAGTTTGTCAATCAGCACAGAATGAAGCCAAAGGAATCCGTAAAGGGTGAGAGTGGTGCATCAGGCTCGGAAGACGCTGATCAGCACAAGGCACGTGATGATTCATGGGGTGGAGGAGAGGATGATTCAGATGAAAAACATGAATCAGGATCTGGTATTTTACGCGAAAGTGAAGAGGAAGCACTGGTAGAGTCGGTGGAAAACGACATCTCTGGAGAGAGTAGTGGACTGTCGGATTCTTCGAAGTTGCCTAGTGACAGTGGCAGTGGTTCAGGAATCAAAATTAATAGAAAACTGTTGAAAGAAGTTGAGCAAAACTTGCACAAAGTTTGGAGATATGCAGCTCCTAAAAAGGACTTAGACATGGTCGCTAAAGGACCCAAAGGAGAGGAAGAGTTAGAGAAAGTGAAAAAGATTTACAATATGATCAGTAAACATGAGTCTGGCTCAGCATTTATAGATTATGAGATGCGAAAGAAAGGAAAACCTTTGAATGATGGTAGGAAAACATCAGGGAGTCATCGAAGGCATAAAAGCCGCAAAAGTAGGGTTAAGATAATAGGAACAGGACACAATGGCACTGAATCAAAGCTTTATACACTACAGAAAGCAAGGAAATATCGGTATAACCAGGACTTGAAAAATCTAAAACCCTGGGGCATGGGAATGGAAAAGTCTGGGCATAAACCCAGTGGGATGTATACAAAGAAAATCGGTCGGAAAGACAAGACCGCTAGGAACAAACAGAATGCCCTAACTATCCTTCGACAAGAAATGAAAGATTTAGCCGAAAACTTAAACGAAAACTCGGGTCCCAAGAAGTATAACGACACTTCTAAAGTGCCTAAGCTTGCTAACTCGAAGTCGGATGGAGGTAAGAGTGTAGGAGACAGTCATGAAGCTAAATTAAAGCATGCAACGAGCAGCGCGGGAGATAATTCTTTAAAATTTAATGAACACAAACATGTATCACTTGATAAGACACAGCTAGAAATCGGTAAAACGTTAGAGGAGCTGATTTTGACCAGAATGGCCCAGCTGCAAAGTCAAAGGAAACACAAAAAGAGAAAGGGAAAACAAGAGCATTTAAAGGATAAACACAAGAATGAGGAAAAAGCAGAAATGGTAAAAGAAGCTTCAAAGGGTAAGTGCAGCGTCCCCGGAGTTAAGTGGAATCTACTCATATCATATTTTCAGTCCAGAAACCAGAAAAAAATTACGATGGAAACTGAAAGTGATCTTCGCAGTAATGAAAACGACTTATGCTGCAGTAAAAGTAAGGCCTGAAAAGGATTCAGGCCTGTACGGGACTTGAACTCATGATCACTGATACCGGTGCAGTGTACTACCAACTGAGCTAACAAGCCAACTGAGAGCTGATTGGTTCGTAAAAAAACCGTGGAGAGAAGAGTCAATGACTATGAATATATCAAAATCATAATGCATAGATGTGAATTGCGGTTTACGAAATGAACATATGAGCGATCTTCGCAGTACACTACTTAAGTAGTATTACAAAAAAAGGCATGAAAATAATTGAGGCCTGAAAGGGATTTGAACCCATGACCTCTGCGATACCGGTGCAGTGCTCTACCAAAACGATTTTTTAAACCGCAGTTCACATATATGGTTTTTATATATTGACATTCGTTGGAAACTGAAGGAATATATTCTGAATTACCTTGCTTTGAAAAAATTTTGATTCATATACATTCGTAACAAGCCGTAATCAAGCGAATCGTGAAAGTGCATGCGGTGGTACGCGCAAGCTTTCTTATTCATGCGTGTCGTTTCAAACACTTGCATCGAGTTATCAGAAAGCCTTACTATTATTTTGTTACTTATTATTTAGAAACGCAGGTTATTTTTTTTGAACCCATGTAGATTTTTATGGCTGCCATACGGAGATTTTCTTCCACTTTATAACTCTAATGCCTGTTGCAATTTTTTTTCTTTCCTTACAGTAAAGCCACAGCCTAACAAGGACAAACTTCTCAAAGAACTGGAGAAGCTTAAGTTTTTAAACGGACCTTCGACTGTTTATAACGAAAGTAGGTTTGTGTATCTCAAACAGTGTGGACTGTACGTGGAGGAATATAATGTATCAAAGGTACGTAGGGGCATGTAAAATACATTTATCATTCGGCTACCTCAGCACCATGAGGATCAAACAAACAAGTATTCCTTGAAAAGCTGGGCTTTCAAGGGTACTTTAACCCAATCTGTCCCAGAGAATTTGAGGAAAATAGACTCTCGCTTAAAGGTTTCTTATTGTGCAAAACGGTTAATGGTGGTTTTGCCCAATTAAAAGGTTTCCCCCCTACCGCCATTATGGTTTATTCAGACCTAAAAAAAGTGTAGCAGAGAAAATCGTAGTCTAAAAAATTACAAACCGCGTTTCATATCTTTTCTCAGACACGTGCTTCTTGGAACAATGATCTGTTTTCACCATATTCGTACCTGTATGAGATGCCAAAGAATTATCACATGTGTAATTCTTCCCTGTGGATGAATAGCACAGATCTGCGTGGAGATGTTTTTTTGAGCTTCCGGGTTATGTCAATAAAAGGAAGTACTATGACTAATAATGCCAATATCTGTGAGAAATACTGCTGCCAGGAGCCGCGCTGCCAGTCCTGGACACTAAGATTCCAGAAAGCAAGCACAGCTAATTGTCCCAAAGGTTAGTGCAGTTCCTTCAAATCATAATTTCTTGTCTGGAAAAATAAGCGATAAAATGTTTGGTGTTTCGTGCAGTTTTAACACTTTAACCCCAAAACAGTGGCTAGTGTAACAATATTGCGTGACACTGTCACGACCTCGTGGTCCGCTGACGACATCTGTTTTCTTATATTAAATATATCTTGTTGGTCCGACATCTTGGTTTTGTATGTGTTCTCCTCTACATTGCCCGTTCTGGCTTGTTACAGCTAGTATCTAATTTCTTTTTATGATGTCACCCCTGAATCAAACATAAACTTAATTTTAACGACCTTTCATCATTTGTCAACCAGGATCTTTTTGCTGCTGGCTGAAAAGTGCCATACCAACGCCCATCCGAGACCAGGAACACTGTACATCCGGAATTGTGCACCGCGAGAGCACAAGACATCCGCCGTCTGGCATGCGATCAGCGGTTCCTCTAGGAGGACTGGGCACGGGCTCGTTTGAGCTACGCGCAGACGGAACGATTCACGAATGGACACTCGAGAACCAGTCTCCCGGAGGTTCAGCTAAATTGAACAAGGGAGCGCTAAATTTGGCAGTGTTTGGAGTAAGAGTGTCAGAAGTGAATAAAGATAAGAGCAAGGCAGCGCTGCTGAGAATCCATGCTCCCCATGGGTACCCTGGAGTGGACAGGTTGTCATACTCTGGATCTTACCCAGTCAGTAAATTAACCCCCGGTGAGTAGAATATTTACGTTTTTTTCGTTCTTCATGTCTCTTTTCTCCGCCTTAAGTTGTAACTCACGTCGAGTAGGACATCTGCGAATCAGTTAATAAGATTCAAGGAGAATTCTTGGAACAACAAAAATCTGTTACTGCAAGATCTCTTGATTATTGCCATGCTTTCTGTGTCACGAACCCTTTGCTTATTTTGCTTGTCTTATACACAGGTGGTTCAATAACAGAGAACGTTGACATGAGTCTATACGCCTTTTCATCATTTCATGTGAGACACCGTTACAAGTCTGCGGTCCCAGCAGTTGCTTTTACTTTAGGCATGCGGAATAAGGCTGACAGACCTTTGAATGTGTCGTTCATGTTTAACTTGCCGTTAGGACAACAGGAGGATACAATTCGTGTCGGAGATAATTATGGCGAAGTTGTATTCACCAGGTATGTAATTGAGCGCTGGTCTCAGTTGTCGTGGAAGTTTTTTCCTGATAGTCATTCACTCAGTTTCTTTCTTACTAATCTATCCTCCCGAGAAGTCTTCCAGCTTAGAGGCCTGTAGCTGCGAGTACTTTTTCTCGTTTTGAAATCCAGCGCCCTGATCAACAGGTCACCTCCTTTCCCGTAAGCTGAGTCAACCTCACCTAATTGTAACTAGCGATGACATTAATCAGACGTAATTGCTGCTTTATTATAGATGGACAGGTGATGTGAGATTATTACTGGTAGCTTTCTAACTCATTTGATCTATCAGTGTTGTCCTCTTACTAAAATGACAATGAAAGGAACCATTGTTTTCAAAAAAAGAGTCAAGATCAATTCATACTTTCTTCCTCATTCCAGAATGATAAAACCATCGGACTGTGCGCACGCGTGTTCAAAGATGCCCAAATGTATGTCATGGACAACCAATGGACCTACATCGTGTCTGTTGAAGGACAAAATGCCCCTTCACGCCTGGGCCACCGGCATCGTATCAGGCCTGAAGGGAGAATGGTCTGTGAAAGACTCCATGTTGACTTGCCACAGGCCCGGGTTTTTCCCTCAGAGCGGTAGCACAACACTATATGCAGTTGACGATGAAGATAGTTCGGGATCTTTTGCCGTGGCTGACGACTTTGGAGACATTTGGAAAAATTTCTCAAACACGGGTGAGTACATCACAGTACTGTATTCTGTGTGTGACATATAGGTAGTAACTAAAATTTTGCGAAAAAATTATAGAACCTTTGTACCCAGGTCGAGTTCGTGCTGGTTGTGGTTTGTGTTTACATTTTCTGTATTTTCTTTTTCGTAAAAGATTCTGTGGTCGCTTTCATTACAAAGTGGATCAATTCCATTTCTCCAATGATTAGCGCTCTCTAATCTAGATCGAAAGTTATTATTGTTTCCTTCTGTTTCCAGGAAAAATTGGCACTACAGAATCTCTAAATAACACTGGGCTTTATGGTGCAGCGTCTGTGATGACACAGCTCCAGCCGGGAGAGAAGAAATCTTTGACCTTAATTTTGTCGTGGTATTATCCCAACCGTGATGTGGCCAAAGTTCACGTCGGTAATCTGTACTCAGCCTTGTTCAAATCCAGCCAGGATGTGGCAAACCACATGCGCAAGGATCTGCTCCAGTCGGTAATGGATATTCGTTCGTGGCATGAACCGATCGTCGGATCTACACCTGCAAGAAAGGAGCCAATCAATGACAAGGTTAAGCATATACCCAAAGGTCCGGACGAGAACAGAGTCAATGAACTTCCTGATTGGCTAAAAGATTTGCTCGTCAATAGTATGAGCTTCTGGAGGTCTGGATTCTGGGCCGAAGATGGAAGATGGCGACAGTGGGAAGCTTTTGACTGTAATGATATTGACACCATTCAAAATGACATGCAGAGAATTATTCCTTACACTCTCTTCTTCCCAGGTATTTTAACTGTCAATTTTGTTTTTCGCTATCTCTCTAATTTAAAATTAATTTACATTATTTTGAGATTATCGTTATAATTATTTTATGTTTTGTTATACTATGCAGAATTAGTGCGAGAACTTCTGACGGCTTGGGCCGACAATCAATACTCAAGTGGTATGCTACAAGAGGCGCTTACTTCCGGTTGTCTGGGACCAACAGGGAAGCTGGGTAATGCTGCTAAATGACTCGCATTGTCACAATATAATACTCCTTAAAATTAAAACTGCTATACGGGTATAGGTTAGAGAGAAGAGTCTTACTCATAGGAATAATCTAAGACTGATCATTTTTTAGATAGGAAGTAGATGAATATGCATATCCACCCCAGTTCAAAGATTCCTTCAATTCTTTTGCCCTGTAGATTACTCCGGCGGCCGAGTGATGGCGGACACAACAGCTATGTTTGTGGTTGGACTTTACCACTATTTCCAATGGACCGGGGACCAGGCTACTCTCGACCGACTTTGGCCAGCGGCTAAAAGAGCAATGGCCTGGGTCATGGTGGATTCCACTAAAGGTTTACTTAATTGCACTCATACATGCATAGCTGTAGCATTATTATGTATTTCTGCATATATCGGTGTTTGCATTTAAAATTACTGAACGAACACACTAAATGATATAAAGGCAGCTTATCAACTTGCTCTGAATATATCTTTCATCCCTGATTTTAAAAGAAAATTGATTCAGTTATACTTAAAGAACTCCTTCCCGCATCACGTAAGATGTAAATTGTTACCTCAAGTTTTACAGACTTTTAGAGCGCATTTCGATCGGAATCGCATTATGGAAACCAAAGTGATCACAACAAGCAATGTAAAGAGATTTAAGCAATGTAAAGAGAGCAAAGGCGATACAAGCTCGGATTAGATTTAGACAGTCATTTGAAAAAACGTCTAAATAATTGTCCTATTTACTCCCAGGTACTGGCCTTCCTTTTAGGAAAGTTAGCACTTACGACATCGTAGCACTTGACAAATATGACCACGACGCCTACAACTCTTTTGTGTATCTCTTGGCCTTGAGAGCCGCGCAAGAAATGGGAACGATAAAAAACGATACCAAGTTTACTTCGAGCATTCATCGTGCTTTTAATCAAGCGCAGAAACGCATCGACGTTGAACTGTGGGACGAAAATAAGCAGTATTACCATGCCTGGTGGGACATGGAATATGGCTCTCCTGAGTGGATCATGTCAGATTCCTTGTATGGTCAAGTCTGGGCTTACTCTCTTGGTCTTGGGGATCTGGTACCTCGTAGTAAACTGAAAGAACATTTGTTAAGCGAAGTTGAGAGAAATGATTCCCCTTTTGGTCTGAAGGTTTTGAACACAGGTGAAACAGAAATCACACAGGAAGACACATCAATCATTTTAAGCCACCATGTTCCCGGATGTAAATCGTTAGAGAATATAACGAAGCATAATTCAGTTTGGATGGGTGCAGACGCCGACTGGTCCTCTCTTATGCTGCATCTAGGTGAGTTAAACGGAAACACTCGAAATTTATTACTAGCCTTTCTTCACTTTAATTTTAATGAAGGATCACAAAACTTGTATGGTAGTCTCACCCGCAAGGTACTGATTGCCGGATAAGGAGTCTCATTACAGGAGTCACGGTAATGTCATGGAATGCACCTTGGATTACAAATTGAGACTTCCAAGTGTCAGTTCCAGGTCCCGGCTAGATTATTTTTTTCAAACAATCTCAGCAAATTTTGTATGAAGTGAGCACCCACAGGACCCATGCTGGTGTCCGCTAAACCCTTTCACTCCGGTCCCAAGATCTAGAAAGCATTTCTCCTGATGTTTCCTGATATTGCTAGGATAGATATTTTCCTTACTTTGATGAACTGAAATATCACACTTAGGAAAAGATAAGAGACAAAGCTCATTACCAATATCCAATTCATTTTACAGACACAGACCCCATAATTGCGCTAAACCGCGCCAAAAAATCGCTCGATCATTGGCGCTCAACGCTCAATGATCAATGGAATATTCATGGCCTCATTTCAAGCAGTGGTTATGGACTTGACGGGCTGCCTTGGGCCACTTCTCACTATTCTTTCCACATGGTTCTATGGCATATACCTCTCGCAGTGTCAGGCCAGCAGTACTTTGCTCCCAATGCATCACTGACTTTCTGGCCCAAGTTTCCAATTCCGTTTAGTTTACCTTTCTTCACGCCCAGAGCGTCGGGGATAATTGAGGGAGCATACGTTAAGGGAAATGACAGAGAAGAAGAAGACAGTGAAGAGGAAGAAATGTTTACGTTTACTATCAAATCAGGTAATAAACCAATTTTCGATGACGAGGCCTGTGATCTGCTTGGTTAGTTCCACAGTTTACTTGAAGTCGTATCGGCTGCCGTTTCATATAGACTGTCACTGAAGTTATTTCCTTTACGCTTTGAAATTTATGTAGTCGTCACCTATAGCCGATTTAAAATTTCTGCCAAGTTTTCCTAAATTTGCGGGAAAAGGCTTCGAAGAAATCTAACGGTAGCTACGAGTTTAAAAATGATACCGGTACAAAAAGTGATAGTTTCCTTCGCAGTCGTTTTTACCTCTCTAAGTACGTGTACGACAAGCCGAAAGAAAAAAACGGAAACTGAGATTTAAAGCGACTTGATTAGGATTCTGATTGGTACAAACAGACATTTACGGAGGACGTTCATACTGCCATTTCATATATGTATTCCATTTTGTTGTGGGTCTGGTCAGGCATAGATTTGGCGCGGAAGACACCAAAATACAGATAGCGGAGAATGTACCACTTAGTATCATAGCACATATTCAGGTCTGGTTGTTGTCCTTATCTTCTTCAGGTGAGATTACCTTAAAAGAACTCTCAATCCTAGGAAGCAGGTATGGAGAGGGTGAAATATCAATCAAGCAAGGAGAAACAGTCACGTGGTCACGGCCAAAGCAAGATGTGAAAAACATTTTACAACAGTTGTGAAGACGTCACGCTACTCCATATTGAACTTTCGCGCACGATTAGGATAGCAGGTTTCGAACAAAGCTTCACCCGAACTGTAATATATTTTTTTTATGTACGAATAATCATGAATACAGTAATTTATTGGATGAAGCACAGTTTACCTAACCCGACTAAAACATCCTAGATATTTCAGTTCTTTTTTTAACTGATTATCAGGATATGTCTGCATCTATCATTTTGCGCTTTTCAAGTAAACAGACATCTTTTACCGCATCTCTCCTTACGCAAGAGAACATTTAAGTGATCCTCTCCGTGTATACAGCGGCCAGTCGAACAGTTCTGTTTACTAATCATCCCGTGCAGCGTTTAAATCCCACCCCCCCCCCCCCACTCCATGTTTCAAAAAGTTGCGCCGCGACAGAAGCTTCACAGAGTCCGTGATAGAGACGCATTATCTCTACTTCATCAATAGGAAAGAAAAATAAAACCGAGGTAACACTATATGGTTAACTTGTGGATAACTATGCATAACATAATTAGAATATACGTGATTGTACTCGGGATCATAAAAAGTAAAGCCTCAAATTTTCCAGGATGAAAATCATCAGTATTCTATATTCTGAAATAGTGAAATACTGAAAACAGAAAATCACGACGAATAATGCCAAGGATTCGTTGGGGGCTGTAATTGGTAAACTAAATGCTGTCTGCTTTTGTATCAGTGTGAGGTATGGCTGAATTGAAACTGAACGCAAAAGAGCCAACAGAAATTAGTGAGGTAGAGTATCTGAATATATACGGAGATTGTCTGTCGACGACATGTACTTAATTCAGCTTTGTGCAATTACTATTGTTTAAGGTTGGAGTTTCATGGAAATTTTTCTTGGACCTTAACTATGCTGTCATATTCAAACCAATTATGTCATAGTCAAAAGATGGAAGATGGTTGCGAAATAAAACGAGAAAATTGTGTAACACCTGAGCCAATATCAATTTATTAACCAACAACGCCCTCTCCTTTATAACGATATGTTTATTGTGATTTACATTGTGTTGTTGATTTGGAGTAACTGATTTTTGCCACGAAATTCGAATGTAAATAGTAAATTAATCGCCTTCTAGAAATGTTCAATTTACGACCATATATCTACAACGATGGTTTTTTCACTTCATACGAACGTCAAGCAGGAGTATCTCAGTTTGTTGTCATTCAGTTGTTTAATCCGCGTCTATTCAGTCCCTCCCAGCTTGTCTAAACCATAGTCACCTTTTAAGTGCTTTTTAAAAGGAACTTCAAAATACACTTTCTAACATATCGTCACAATTTTCTGTTTAATTCCCATCGTATAAACCGTATATTCATGGAAATTTAAGTGTTTCGCGATTCATAAGAATTGGCGCTATTGTGGTGTCATTTTGTTACGCTTGCTATCTCGTTATTTTTTCTTCATTTTTGACAAACACGAGTGTATTTTATTTGCCGCAATACAATGTTCTAAACCGAAATCTAACTGACTCTGGTGAGGAAATCTTACTAAGGTTCCTAACTCTATTACTATACAACCCAAAAAAGCTGTTAAACCAAAACTATCCAGTAACAGTGAGGTTAATGTTCAGTTTTTTAGTCTCTGATCGTATCCTGTTATCAGAAATACTGAAAATTTTATTCACTGACATTATTGATAATGGTTCCGATTAGGACGTAAAATTATCACTCGCAGGTTTTAAGCTAAGATCGATTACCATGGTTTTCACCATTGGGCATAGCAACCATTCGAATTTACTAACGAGCTTCAGGTAAAATTCATAATCAAAGAAAAGGAAGAGGATTAAACGAGCATTAGTTTTCATAAATGCAGTTTTTTTCCGCTCCGCTCGGAATTGTGTGTCGATCCACAAAATAAAAACAGAACAGAACGGACACAAGTGAAGAGGATCACTTTCAGCAGTTTACACCAGGTAGGCTTTTGAATGAAATCGAGATTTTTTTGTACGCTTTTCAATGCATAACCCTAAGTAATTTAATCATTCAAGTCTGATCTGAGACGCTCTCACAAACTAGCATATCTAAATCTAACATAAATCTAGCATATTCTTGCAAAATACACTTTCGTCGATACATTTCTTCAAGTTTGCAAAATTAAGTTCTTGTCAGATAAAAGAAAATAGAATAGTGTGTCGTTGCCCCTTTCTGCAAGAATACCAATCAAGCTGTGATGGCGTAAGGTACCATTATTGACTTAAATGAATGCTAAGTAGCTACTTATTCCATTCCATTAATATAGCCGCAAACCTATTGGAAATTTTTTTTTTAAAAGGCGCACTATTTGTCTGTTTAGCTTAATAATCGAAGACTTCGTGGCAGAAATGATCTCAAAATCCGAGCTTGCGAGCAGGCGTGGAAATTATGAATTTTCTCCACTAATCTCAAATAAAGTACGACAACTTAAGTATATGGTGATAAAATGATCCTGTGGAACACTTTCCGCGATCGTCCGCAGAAATCGCGATGGGGGTCTCACATGGACTTATCGAAAAGAATTTTAAAGAACAAACCGAATAGTGAGGTAAAATCCCAGAAAAATAATTCACTCCTGTTGAACAGGTGCAGATTAAGAGGACAACAGTAGCTACACTGAATATCCGTACAGAAGGTGTGAATATGCAGAGTGAAAGTTCTCTCTCTCTAAAAACCGACAAAACTCGCAAAAATTGGGAAGTGGAAATCGTGTAGAAGAAAGCAAAATTGAACCAATAGAGACCATTTTAGCTCAAACAGAGGGCAATTTATCAACTTGATCGTTCAGGCTATAATTTAAAGGAAAAAACTTCATTAATTCAGTTTATTAATGTGGCCCCACACAAAAGAAAATAAGCCCTGACTCCTACCAGCTTCTACCTTGCCACTTTAACTTGACCGAGATTACAATTTCAGCAGCCAGGGTTGTGTCGTTAATCCAAATTAGCTGTTATTGCCTTTTCTAAAAGCTCTCTTGAGTTGTAACACACTTGGAGGTAACTATAAACACAGACTTGCTTGGCATAGCTGAGATTGAGTCAAACAAAAAGAACATCCTCCTTCATTTGTGATGTGAATTTAAACAAATTGTTTTTCAAATTATAAGAAAGTCAGTTGTAACTGTGTGAATAGCACCACCTTTCACCAAACCGGAAACCATACAAAATATGTTTGTATTGAATAAAGAGTCACAGTCTACGTTTGTAAGCCATAGCAGGCTCATGAATTATTTGAAAGTGATTATACTTTGGCTATAGAGTAAAAGATACTTAGTTGTACTGGTTAGCTATTACATCTTTATTTTTCGAATCTAATTTGTGAGTTGAAAGCTTATCTTACCAAATGCAATGATCTTAAGATATCTTTGTTCCAAACTTCGCTCGAGGAAAAATGACGCTGTTGTTGAAAATCAGGGTGTAAATATCAAGCATAAATTTAAATTTATATGATCAGCTGAGTCACGCACGAATTTTAATTGGTTCTTATTTATGATCTTCTGGAAGACAGACGCATTGATGATGTCATTATTAACATTTTTGGCTTTTTTTAACCATTTAATTAAAACAAATAGACTCTTTGATGCTGCGTGTCTGTTCAGAAATAGATCACAGACGTACTATTTTCCGTTTCCATCTAAACCTGAAAACAGCTTTGGTAAAAACTTCGTGACTCAGGCAACTCGGTCCTTATTGTTCCTGTTTGTTCCTTCATTATCTTTTTATCTCGGTAAAGAAATATCCAATGTGTTTTTGTCAAATACTTTAAATGAAGATGACAGAATACTCTTTGTTTTAAAATGTATAATGTCTACAATTTACATTATTGCAGAAAGCACTATTAGCAAAGTTGGTTCAGTTTGAAAAATGTTTTTAATATTTAAGTTTGATTCTTAAAATTCTTGATCTAATAATTAAGATAGTTTTCTCATTTAAGACGAAATCCGTCCTGTTTTAATTATTTTCCAGAACAAATTATTTTCTCAACATAATTAGATGTTAGCAATCATTCGTCTAATTGCGAAAAACGGCAAGCGATATGCTAATTTATGTTATGAAAAATATTAATAATAATTATATTTTTGGTCTAATATTAGTGCAGAGATGAAACAAGCTGTAACAAACATGTCTGGATTTTTAACTTCACAGTTTCGTCTCAGTCAGGTCGGTCAATCTCCAGTTATAGACCACCTGTCCTTTGCAAATAGAGATATTAGTTTTTTAAAGAATTTATTTTTGTTCTCTTCATGTTTGATGTTGACAGGTGTCGTCTGGCTGGGTGTCAAAGCTCATTAGGGTTTTAGCCAGACTCATATTAACTTTGTGATGACAAATGTAAAAGCTATCACATCATTAACAATGGTGTGTCAGCTAGAGGCATTTCCTTTATTAAAAACTTCCAATCAGGGCGATCTAACGCTTCTCTTACAAAGCTATTCATGCCTTTAGACAACATTTGGGAATGTTATAAGAATATCTGCTCTGAAAATTAATCTCCAACCCCCCACCTGAACTTCTATTCTTGCTATTGATGAACAATGATTGAAAATGGTGGATGAAGTGAGAATTTCAAGGGCGGAACACGTAATTAGTGATCTATAACAAGCCAGCGTAACTGTTTAAAATCATCAGGTTTGGAATTTCTTATTGAAGATCAGGGATGGATAGAAAACATTCACATACTTCCAAAACAGAAGGATAAAAACACTTTGTGGATAATTTGATCCATTGAGTGATTTATTTCTTCCTTCTTTCATTTACTTATTTTTTCATACGATAATATATATACATATCTATATGTTTTTATTCATCAGCTTATTCGTTTACTCATCTATCCATCTATGTAATATATTTATTCATTTACCGGACGATATCTTCAAATGCACAAATCGTACAGTTCCAAAAGAGAAAAGTTATAATGTGATATGATCCAAGTACAAGAATGCGAAAAAAAGTATTTTCGAATGTGTATTTGCTATTGCGTTCCCTAAAAGAGAGTTATGCGTCAGAAATTCCATGATTTTCATCTCCGCCATTGAAAACATGCATGAAAATTGTCAATTTTATCCAAATTTGTCTTCAAATGTGCCAAAGTTTAACCTTCACTAGGAACGCCGCCACTTTTTGGCTTTTCAACCTGGCCCGTTTCGGGTGATATGAAATAGTCTCACTCTGTTTCTTTACATCTCTTGGCACTCGGTGTGAACAACTGAAAGCTGCACAAAAAGGCGTTCTTGACTTAGATAATGATTTTTTTTTCCTCCGATAACTCAAGCAGCAGCTGTTTGAGAACCGCTCGTTGCAGTTTTGTGCGTCCGGCCAGGTTACTTTGCTTTTTCTCAAAATGGCGCCGACCATCATTTAATTTTCAATACATTTGCAGAATCTTTCAGAAAAGTTAGAATACTATTCAAAATACTAAACCGTACCTACAAGTACATTTTCGCCTATTCTTCTTTGAGGTGGAAATAAAATGTGCATGTCTTCAGGGCATATTTCTCCATTAAAGATTGACGTTTAGTTTAATACACAGTATCCTTTAAACCGTGCAAAGCCAGCCCCAAACACAAGGCAGATCTTAGATTAGGAAACTCCAAACTTTATTCTTCAAGTTAAAAGTAGGTGTACAGGCAGTGTAGAACAATTAGACTTGATAAATAGAACACTAGAAGGTCACGATTGCGTTAAAATAACAACTCGGAAGTGAAGAGATTTTCAAACACTTTTGGCTTATTAGATGGTTCTAAGGTTGCTAAAGTTATTTCATGAGTTCATGTGGTTTTGCCAGTACATAGAATGAAATTTATGGTGGTTGAAGAAGCGATTAGACAAACTTTCAGGATTTGAAATACCACGATTGTAAAAGAAAATTCTTCTGCTTTTCATAACTCCGGTCGGTGCTTCGAGAAAACATCCAAGAGCATGGTCAGTGGAAAGAGTGATTAGTGACTAGCAGTCAGAAAGAATTGGGGCTGTCTGCGATCTTATACATTAATACAAAACGTAACTGCCGAATGTTCTACGTCTCTTCGAATTCGGAGGTTTAAATCCATATTCAACGTCGTTTAATTCCGGTTAAGGCATTAAGTTAAATCTAACCACACACAAACCTAACCTTTCTCAATTAGAAACTATTCTAAACAAAGAGGACTATGTGTAAATTCTGTATTCTTTGTATGAGAATTACTTCTATCAATAGTTGCACTTGCTCTGTTAGATAGCGCGAAACGTAATCAAGGCGTATTTCTTCCTGTTTCAAGAAAACACGATTAGTTATCTAATTTCATACCAAGATTATAATATGAATATTTCACATGTTTGATTGTGTGAGACCATTGCAATTATTGAAAATATTTCTTGAGAAAGGCAACTCAATTTGCAGAGATCGCGCCCAGGGAAAATAATTTTAACCAATTTTGAACGAACTTCAAGAGTAACTGATTCTTTGTTTACCATGAAAGCATGAAAACTCAAATACCTTCGGTTTAATGTTTTGGTGTTTATAATATTTGTATTCACTGATTTTGCTACAGTTCCATTAGTTTACATGTTAAGGCTTCGTTTTATGAATTTTTAAATCCCTAACACTTCGTGACAAATGAAACTTATTCAACCGTTAAAATTTCGTAATAAACTTTGATGTCCGAAAGAGCAATCAATACTACTATACTAAGTTTGTCGAAGTCTTCAAACTTACGTAGATCATCGATTGAGGCTCGAAGTCCTTTTATGAAGATTCAAATAAATTTGTGGAAGGTGTGAATTTCAATATCCTCGAGGCAGAATCTTTCTTGATTATAATATGAAATTTATTGTGTCTCTCTACTTACATATTTAAACGAGCAAATTTGAGGAATCCTTGGCAGTGGTGCGCTCGGTAGACATCGCTTGAATCATTTCAGTTTTCGGTTGAAAAGCTTTTCAAATTAAGCGACAGCAAGCGTTTACGGAATACCCGTTAATATGATATCATAAGGCAGCTGTATTTACGGCATAAAGTGCCCCATGTTTCCGCAATTCTCCTGTATACATCAATTACAAATCCCGATAGCCAGCCTCATTGAGTAATAAAAGAACTAAATGCTGATTGGCGGACGTCATATGCAAATTACATGACCAGACGTTCGGCTTTTCTATTTTTCTGAATTAATGCGCTGTGTTTCGGTGATTTCTCGTTGAAGATGAATTTTGATGAATGAATAATATTCCCTGCTCACTTTCCATGACGCGCTATTTTCGGGTCACAGGTGACGACGAAATAGAAGTCCAAATGTTTCGATGGCCGATGAGGCGAAGGATCTCACTAAGAATTCGGAAAACAAGCTCCGAGCGGCAACAGAGGTTTTCCAGCGTAAATATCGTTCTATGTCCACTTACGGAGAGCAAGTCATCGATGATGCCAACCGCTCAAAGAAAGCGCTGTTCTGCCTTCCGGAAGACAATCCTCTAAGATTCTATTGCAAAAAGATCGTCGAATCCAAGTATCCTTTACTGAGAAGCTTAAAAAAATCATCATCATCATCCCTAATATATCTTTGCTTGAATTTTCATCAGTTATTCCCTTTTGTTCCTGACACTTGTGTTATATTTAACTATATTACCTTGTGTCTCTCTGGTACCTCATGTTCAGGTTGATGTAATTTTAATTTTGCGGTGCCCTAAGTCTGTTCGCAATCAGCTTTTAGAGGCGCTTGCAATTTTGTTTTGATTTTGTTAGCGTGAAATTATTTTTCCTCGCGCGTCACAGGGAAATACTGACACGATAGAAAATACGATTACTCCAAACATGAAATTCTTCAGATTGAACCTGATCCAAAATTTTCCTTTCATTTTATCTTTTCGAGGAATTAGCTTCAGACTTCTGTTCCTTAGGCACTCTAACTTTATTTCGCTTTAGAAAATGATTTGATACGAAGTTTTATTTAGTCGATTTCACAATTTGATTGCTGTATTGCTGTTTTCCTGAACTCTGCTTTAGGAAGTTTGAATATTTTATATTACTGACAATCGCCGTAAATTGCGTTGTTCTGATGTTAGATGAACCGCTACCCAATGGAGATACAACTGAGCGAAATGAACAACTGGTAAGAAACTGCTTTCTTCGCCTCAGTAACTGACAAAGAAAAATCTATGGTTTAATTAAAGAAACATTTCAGTTTTTTTTCTAAAGAAGCCATTTGAAAGCAGGAAACCTGCCCAGCATAACAACGAAATATATTATAAAGTAAATTCCCGAAAAATCTGGAGACAAAAGTGAGTTACGAACGAAAAAGAGAGAACAACTAACAAATTTATGTACGTGTAATTCTTAAAACGTTTTCGTTTATTTTCTTAAGGAAAAATCTGAGAAGTACTTCGTCATAATTTACTGCATCGAGGCTGCAACGAAGATCATCGCCAGTGGATTTCTTCTTCATAAGGATGCATACTTGCGAAACGGCTGGAATATTTTGGATTTTGTGGTGGTCGTTGTTGGGTAAGCCCTTTTTATTTATCTAAACGACAGTAGAGTTTGCGAATATTAACTCTCTCTTCGTTCAGCTGCTTTTGTTGTCATTTTCATCTACGCCGGAAATTTCGTTCGAAGCGGAGAGCGCGCGAGGTGTGCGTTTAAAACTGAAACGCATTTTTTGGCCAGGGAGCTCAATCTTACCAGCGATTTTTAATGTCTTCCTTTTTGACGCCATTTTGGAGACCCCTGTTGAGCATGAAAGAATAGTTGGAGTGAATCATAAAAGGGCCATGTATTACGTTCAGTCAGAGATAAATCATCGGCAGGTCTTATTAGAGTTCGCTCTCACTTCGCTGGCTATAAATCGTTCTAAAAATAAATACACTAAGCAAGCAATGCGTTTGCTGAACAGGACGACAATTATGTTGTAAATATGTAGCACCTCGTACTGTTATGACATTGATGTCGCAAACAACAAAAACAACCACGAAACGTGTATACATGTACTGATAAATCAACAGATACAAGAAACTTATTGCATGTTATTTTTAGATCAAATACCTTTCGTTTGAAGTTAAATGATACTAACCGAATGTCAGCCCATTCAGATCTCCACGACTTTATCAGTAACAATAAAATTTCTCTGGAAAACGCTCGATTTACCATTATTACGTAAGTGTATCATCATAAAGTAAAAAGAATGAAATCATTTAAAGCAACTACGATCGATTTTCACAATGTTATTTGTCTAATATTCTACGGCACAAAATTAATGGTATGCGATGCGTGTTGCCTAACACAGTTGTGAATAAGACACTTAAAAAGTTTATTTCCTTAAATTCATCTGTTAGATTTATCGATTGTTGAATGGAACTCTGTCATAATCAAAAGTTGAGTATTTTCAGTAAGTAAAACCTCGTTCCCAGAAAGACACTGATGCGGTGTTCTAGCCACCGTAAAGGTTCCCTCAAAGTCACAGCAAATATATATAGTCTTCGTGTTTTTAGCGTCGTAACTGCTAGCATTTTAAAGGAGTTAAGAATAGAATTATCATGTTCCAAAGATTAAGCTAATGTATGGCAATATCTTGACAGAGCATAAGCTATTCTGTTTTGTTCAATTCAACATGCCTATTTAAACTTCAAAATAAACCACGTCAAGAAACACTCCATGGGCGATTCTTTCATTTTACAAACGAACGCTCTTTCGACAAGTTGCCCTCTTGTTTTAAGTATTCCGCTAATTCAGCCAATCCAAATTAGATCTACTAACAAAAAATTAGGAAGGAAAAAGAAATTAACTCCAACAGCTTAAGTTAAGGTTATTTCAGTACATGAAAATGAAATAATATAAAGAACTCGTGGAGATTGTCTCCTGCCTTTGTTACTGCGCTTAATTAAGAAAAAAAGCGTAAAGAAAACTTATCTAACCCGCAATTTAACCACGCCTATTTATGGATAAAGACCAATTGCTGTATTTTGACATAGTTAATGTGCCATGGAATTTTTGGGTTAAAAGCTTCAATATTATTTGTGACACATATGGATTTGTCCTCGCTGAAGAATTTGGCGTTTTGTTTTAGTTTCATATCATCAGTATATGAAAGTTTACCAGGAACAATGGGAATTAAAAAGTTATCATTCTCTGTCAAAGGCAGCAACATAATTGCAAAACCTTCAGGCTTAGTGCCGTGCGAGGTGGATCTGGCAATTATTTCTTTGGTTCAATATATATTCGTTTCATGTTAAATAACTGTTAAAATGAAAAATGTCAGGTTAGATCCTATCAAAGGTTGCTTATCTTGAAACAAAAGGAAATCAAGTGCTGAAAAATTTTATTCCCCGCGACTACCGACGTATGTTCAATTATGTTTTAAGACAGCTAGGTAAATATTTAAAGGTGTTAGTCACCTGAAGGATGTGTGAGGATAAGAATAGGCTACTGACGAAGGAAAAAAAAGTGACAAGACTTTATTTACGTGCTGGTACGATAAGCTAATTTAAATACAATTTTGCCCTCTGTTGATCCAGCTTTAATTTCAGGAAGAGAAAAGACTTGAAAGGTGTTTTTTTTATGCAACTTCAGAGGATTCAATTTTTCTATTTGTTTCTTAAAAATCCCTTTTTACGGGTGGAATATTTGTCCACGGAAGACGAAATATGCAGAAGCTGTTGATATTTAAATTTAAGCAACTGATGAAATGTCCGTGATAGATTGTCCATCGAGTAGTGTTTCATTCATCGATTACTGACTTTATACCCAATGCTAATGAAATTTCTACCTATGCATGATGAAAACCATTTTTTAACCTGTCGACATAATCTGACCTATTTTTGCAAACCCGTGAAAAAGAAACCTTGCAACATATTCCCGGCAGCATAGGATTCGGCTGTTAAACCCAATTTAATTATGAGCATCTACGTCATTTTATACTGACTGACCTTCTACTCGTAGCTTTATTTTACCAGATGCTCGTAGAAAGTATTTCTTTTAGAGTAAAACGAGCTGATAATTTTTGGAGGAGAATTCATCCTCGCCGATAAAAACTTCCTAAGACGTCGCAACAAACTGATATGACATGCTGCGGAATATTGAGATACTAATCAATTTGATCACGTATTACGATGTTCTACAGATCTACGGCCGTCCTACAAATAAAAGTGCCACCCTCCCCTTCCCCCTCTCTCCTGGTTGAAAGCGAATCTTAACAAGACAACGAAAATGAAAAAAGGATGGTATATTCTTAAAAGTAGTTTCCGCAAAGGTAAAAAGGTGACGCAAAGATGGCTGTTAAAATAAGCAACAGGAAGTGTGAACTAAAAATAACAGAAAGGAAAAAACCAGCATGAATACGGAAAGCTAAAATCGAAGATCAAACTTTATGATGAAACATAACCAATTTATGAATCATTACGCGAAAAATATGATTAAGTTTCATAACAGAAAGTAACTTGTCACCTCTCTCTGTCTATCAACGCAGGGAAGCGTGCTGAGTTTTCATCTTTATCTATATAATTTGATGCCTTAATGTGATAGACTTTTTCCCTTCGTTTGCTTTCTTAAAATTTCTTTAATTGCTAATTACTCGGATTACGAACTCTGTCCCGGTTGCCCTCAGGCCATTAGCAGTCATTTATTTTGTACCGCAATGAAAAGAGTATTTTCTTGTCATAGAGTCGTGCCCTAATTCCATCAGCTCCTTTTCCTTCGATATATTGGCGTAGTACATATTTTTAGTTTCCTGCAAGTCTGAGGGAAATTAATGTCTCCCCATAAATAAAAAATCTCAAGATTGTACGAGTTCGCTTTCTAGTTTTGCTTGAAAACTTCTCTTCGTCGTGGGTTTAACAATGGACTTTTTTCCCAGCCTTATCAAACGGACTTCCTTTTTTGAAGTGGTTAACCGACGAAATACAAACTCCATGAAGACTTGGATGTCGCTACAGCGACGCAAATCTCAAATCACTTAGAACCTCCTTTAAGAGGTGTCTATTTCAGTTCAGTTAAGATTTTCCTTCAATTATAACTAACTATTCGCTTTTATTTCCCATCGTGCAATCTGTTTGCATGAACTTCAATCGGCTTCGTCTCTAATGAAAATGATTTATCAATATCCTTACTTCCTAACACTGACTCTATTTCTCATGAATTTAAATGCGCTGGTGATATTCGTCCAGCACACATATCGTCTTTTAAAAAGATCCAAAGTTTTTTAACCTTCTAAGTTTTTTACAATTTCATTTTGTCTCGAATTATTTGTTCCGCTTTTGATGCACAGAAACCATTTGGATGCTAGTGCTTGCATTGTAAGTTTGATTGACAAGTTCGCGTGGCCGGCAACGTTAATCATTTATATCGAGAGATTCTAAACTCTTTATATATTCCTTGATTTTATTCAATAGATTGTAAAAAGCTTTCAACTAAATAGTGTAGTTTATCAACCATCTCGCACCCATCGTATATTCTTCCTTCTGTTAACGATCCAGTTTTATGATTTTGCGAAGCCTCTGTGATATAATAACTTTGCAATCTGTAAATGCATCGTCTCGTATAAAATTACTTATTCAGCTATAGATAGTTTCATCATTCCTGTTCACGCAAACTTCTAATTGCCCTTTTCAAAACGAGTTTTTGGTTTGATCTTGATAAAAGGAAGACCAAAACACATAAAATATTATTCAGATTGTAAAGTATGAGCGGATAAAAGATAATTACTGAACGGAAATGGCCCATATCCCTCGTGGAGGGGGAGTCCTTTTTCTAAGTTATTTGTTTAGCCACCAGCGAACTTTTGTCCCACGATAATTGAATTCTCGTGGATGCGTTCAAACTTTCTATCGAAAGCTTCGCGCGAATTTTCCGAGAGACAATATGTACGAAGGTTGATATAGTTCGCCTGCGTTTGTTTTGCAAAAAAATTTACGACTTTGGTTTAAGGAGAGGTTATTTTTCTTGCCATGGACGATATCATTGGTCGATGTTATCGTCTTTTTCTTTGAAATCAGTTCTCTTTGGGCCTAATACCTGTCGTATTTCCATAATCAATATTTTATCGTTGTTATTATGTGCTCCGACTCAGGTAAACGAACTTTGTTATACTCTGTAGGTTGGTGGGCATGATATCAGATCTCGAGATCTCTGGTGGAAGTGACAGCAACAGCTTGAAAGAGTCGGAGTCGCTTAAAGTTCTGCGAGCGGTGCGAGTCTTGCGCCCACTTAAGATCGTTTCTGGAATACCAAGTGAGTGGACAGATTTTTGTCTTGTCTTTTTTTCTTTACGCCCAGGACTGGGACGAGTGCTGACTTTGGCCAATCAGAGCAAAGATACGGCTTGGTGACTCAGTACCCTCGCCAAAGTCTAAATTTATTGTCCCTCAATGCGCAATTTAGAATTAAAAACTAAAATGAATAGATCATTTATCGTACTGAAACATCATTTGAGTAGTAGACGCAATTTTGGAATTAAACGACCTGCTAGAAAAACTCTTATTTATGATTCGAAAATTCTTCTTGCAAACTATAAACCTCTCAGGCCTGCCAGCTCTGTAAAAATAGTTAATGTTCTGGTAAGATTAGGGGTTGGTTAAAAGGCACAACGCACTCATATCTAACGGCAAAAAACGGAGGTTGATGATCAGTGCTTTTTGTTAGGATTCTCATTTGTCTTAAGATCTGGGTTCGATTCCTCATGAGGCTCACATTTTCTGTTTCACGTTTGTGACGAGAGGAGTATCATCTCTCTTCTTCCAACAGGCCAAAAATTGACCATGCTTTCCTATTCAATTCAAATCATAATCTGCATGTTATTTGTTTTGCTGCAGGTCTTCAAGTAGTTATGAAGTCAATAGCAAGAGCCATGATCCCTCTGCTGCAGATTTTGTTTTTGATTTTATTTGTTATCGTAATCTACGCCATAATAGGATTAGAGCTTCTTAGAGGCAAGTTTCAGCTGACCTGTTACAATACAACGACAGGTGAGAGGATATATTTATTTATTAATAAACCACGCAAGTGAATTGCACTTTTCGCGCGCTCTGATTGGCTAGTTCGGAAGTAAATGGCGAGTACTACTCACCTCCGAGCAGCCGGAGAGACAAAATCGTGCGTCAAGAATTGAATTTTTTGCCATTTTTCGGTATATTGAAAGAAATAAACTAATTTTTTGGTATTTGTATGTGTTTTACATACTAAAACAATTATTATTCACCTTAACTTTGATGAATAATTGTTAAATACGCCTCAGTTAAGGTTGGCAATACAAGTTAACTTCAAAAGTCAGAAACATCTAAGATAAAAGGAGAAAAAAGGGCGAGGGCGAGAATGAAAATCATTGCAAAATTAGGTATTTTCGAGTATGGGTTATTGCAAAAAATTTACTATTTCAATTCCATTCAAGAGTCATAATCATGTAATCACAAGGATGTTTAACAAACAGTATTTCTACCAAGAATAATGAGCGTAATGGAGACTATGATAAATACACCAGACCACAGTGAATAGGTAGCGTTGTTCTGAAGATAGAGAGGCTGTTAGAATCAACCCAATTCTCTGGATGCTTTAAGGCTTTCATAGAGAGGCGAATTAGTTTGGGACGAAAGCTCCATTTACCATAAGCAATCTAAAATCTCAAACCACGTGTGACGCCAAGCTGGGGCGTCGAGCCCAGGCCACTGCGGACGAGTACTCGCTCGCACAATTGAAAATCCCTTGGGCTACAGATGCATCATCTTAAGACTACTTATGTTTTCATGAATTTATTCAGGTGAACTGGACCCTAAATTCACCACCCCACGTGTCTGTAGTGATCCAGAAAATGTTGGCCGCCCCTGTGACACGGGTTTGAGCTGTGCAAAAAACGAATCCGTTTGGAGAGGACCAAACAAAGGCATTACAACATTTGATAATATCTTTCTATCAATGTTGACGGTATTTCAGTGTATCACAATGGAAGGGTGGACTGATATTATGTATCATGTAAGTAGATTTAACACATTGATAGGCATCTTTTTTTAATGAAAACTTATTTTGTTCCTACGCATTTGGAAAAAAGCCATTCGGGTGATCGCACAACTAGAAAAAAAATTTTCAACGAGGAAATTTTCGCTTGCTGTAAATGAACCCCTTTCGATGTATGTGACTTTAACACTCCTCGCGACGTCACAGTCGATCGCAGCACTCAATATCCAGAGGGCCTCTTCTCACCAGGAAATAGACGCAATGTAAAGGTATTGCAATGTCCACCTAACTGAAAATGCTTAGGTTTGATTGCCTTGTAATGGCATCCCAACCGAGAAAACTCGGGCACCGTTTCTGTTGACAAGAAATTCGAAAATCTATGCTGATTTGTTTATTTTCACGATTGATTTGTCTGATAACGAAATCATCCTGGTACAAGAATTTACCTGTTTATCGTTTTTTATTGCAGAGTTACGATGCAAGAGATTATCACACACGTGTGGTCACATCAATTATTTATATATCATTAATTATCATTGGCTCATTCTTTATGCTCAACTTAGTTCTTGGTGTCTTGAGTGGGTAAGTATTGTCAACACAATTTATGACAGCAATAACACTTGGCGTAAAAATTTCGATTTAATTAACCGTGACCTAACGTATATCTTGCAAGCATAGTCGCAAGTTCTATAGGTTCTCTGCTTTAAAAATCCCTATCAAAGGGTGAAGTAACAATGCCATTGTTTCATATCTTTCCAGTGAGTTTGCAAAAGAGAGAGAAAGAGCCGAAAATCGACGAACGTTTTTCAAGTATCGCAGTCGAGAAAAAATAGAAAGACAAGTCAATGCGTACACAGACTGGATAGGGAGGGCAGGTAAGAATTTTTCCTTTGCGTTCGCTATTAAAAAAATTGGTTAAGTCACATTTTCTGCCAATTACTAAGAGGAGACGTACAGAGCGTCAACTGTAACAGTCCTACTGAAATAAACAGTGTCAAACCAGTTAAGTAACGACCGGCTATATTTAGCGGCTTTGCTGGTGCGGTAGACGTACGTTAGTTAAGGCAGCCAAGAATTCTTATGTTGATCGAGCTTTTCCTTTGAAATTGCGTGACGATCGAAATAAATTATGATAGTAATAAGTTCCGCCGTCAGGAAACGAGTCGAAAGATTTGAGGACGAACTGGCCAAGATGGGGGCGAAATTGTTTTATATCAGGGTGGCAAACTCGTACAGGAGGGAAGGGGGGAACTTCTAGTGAGGCCAAACCTCCAGAAGTCCTCTAACAAAACACCAAACTACAAACTTTTGTGAAATTAACAAGAGGCATGGTATCTATAATTCATCATGGACTTATATTTTCCTTTTTTGTAGAGGACATTATTTTACGAGAGGAAAGAGAGAGACATGGAGTAGGAGGAGGTACGCGGTGTTGCAAATATTTTTTTGAATATGTTTTCTTAACCTTTTTTTCAAAGTCATGTAAGAAAAGAGGGACAGTTCTGTTGCAGCTTTTTTAAAAACAATCGATATATGAAAAAAATAGTTTGTTAACAGCCGAGCGTTGTTTATGGGATTGTTATAGACAGCTGTGCCTGTTGTAAACTATATATGTAAAGCTAAGAAGACATCAACAACAACAAAATGATGACTATGTGCTGGTGACTTCCAATTGAGCTTGGTTTACTGTTATAGGTCATACTTTACGCTGACAGAATCATTTCCATACGATATTAGCTTAATGCATTATCAAATACCAGCTGTGATTTCCTGTGATTCAGTTCCAAGTTCTGATTCGTTTACATTGCCTGGTTTGCGGTAGTAAGAACTTCTCTCAATTAAATCTCCTTGAACTGAATCTATCTTCCTTTTCCATGCAGGTGGTCCACGTGATCCACTAAAGAAGCGTTATAGTCTGTCAGACTCCATCATGCATTTGATAGAAGATCACGGAGAAATGGTCAAATATCTCAGAAATAAATCAGAAAACTGGTCTGAAAGGTACGGATACTGTTACGAGCCATACAAACGATACTTGAAGCGAAAATCGAACTTCGGAGACCAAAGAAAGAGAAGAATTACGCTATAATCTCTTGAACTTTTGCATTCTACTAAGGGTTTAAAAGTTTAAGAAAATGCCATGATTTAGTCTTTCCGATTCATTGCAGTTCCAGCACAATGCGGAAACTTAAAAAGAAGGAAAAGCTATTTCGGATCCATGTCCGTCAAATGGTTAAAAGTCAAGTATTCTATTGGTCAGTTATTGTCTGTGTTTTCCTCAACACTGTACTTATGTCTGTTGAACACTACGGGCAACCTGATTGGTTGGAGAGATTTCAAGGTGGGTGAAGGATAACATACTATGCACTTACTGACTGAGTAAGAGAGCTGGACGACAAAATATTTTGTTCGAGGTCATGTCACACGAACCCTAGAAGTGAGGTCCGTACGTCATAAAAGAGAACTAGTATTATCCTGTCCGGCCCGTCTTCTCTCATATTCATCATATGACCGTTACTCTCTCTTTTCCCTTCCTTTCTTCGTTGAGCTCTTAGCTTGCGAGACCACGATGGCTTTTCATTTTGCACTTTAATTCCAGCATTAGTAATTTCGAAACTTAACTTTGTGAGAATATATTGAATTAAGAAGATGGTATATTTTAAACTCAGTAGTCTAGCACAGAAAGATGCTGTTCTCGAGCGTGGGAAAAATTTCCTCTAAACCCCTAAAATCAATCGTGATTCGATCGCTCGTGAAGTTTGCTTAATTTACTTTGTGATCTCCTTGGCTCCCTGTACAATTTTATTTGTTCTAATACTGGTCTCTCATTCCAAACCTCCGTTCTATATCTTTTTAGTTCATTTTTTGCTTCATACACGGTAATCATTGTGTTTTGGTCTTTCCAGCCATTTCAGAGTACGTCTTCCTTAGCATATTTATAGCCGAGATGTTGTTAAAAATGTATGGCCTGGGACCCAGAGTTTATTTCAAGTCTGCGTTTAACAGATTTGATTGTGCGGTAAGCTGGAAAAAGTCTATTGAATAAGTACTCCTGAAAATAGGAAAAATTTGTTACGTTACTAAACCCGAAGGATACCCAATTCATTGCTCTCGGGATTTTTGGTCACGTGTTTTTTAGCGAGATCATGAGACGCCGTGGCCTGCTGAAAAGTAGGCGCACATAACTTAGGATCGAGAGGGCCTAGTTCGAGCTTTTCAATGTCACTGCGTTGTGCCTGCATTTGAAATCACTGAACTTCTGTTTTCCTCTTCTCTTCTCTTCTCGTCAGGTTGTCCTAGGAGGAATTGTCGAGATAGTCGTACAAAATATTACAAGTTATAGCTTTGGTATCAGTGTTCTGCGAAGTCTTCGTCTTCTTAGAATTTTCAAATTTACAAGGTGAGCCGAAACACATATTACTTTCAAATTTGGCAGAGCCGTGCATACATCAACTATCTCAGGATCCTGCTCATACATGGAAAAGAAATCATACCACTAGATTCAAAGTCAATAAAGTGACGTAGACAATTCTCTCTCGGCGGGTAGTTTAACTCCCTACAGTTACAACTGCTGAACAGAATCGTGGTGAGAATCAGGTGGAAAAAACCGGATCATTCATCAGGGATATTGTCAGGTTAAAGCCCTTAACAAACAAAGAAATGCATCGACAGCAACTGAGAGAATCAGTATTCAGATTTTAAGAGTGAGAGACTTAGGACAATTATAAGCCGAGGGCTCAATGGGTGGCTCTTAATCTATCGTAATTTCGTCACCTGCATTTTCCTCCGCTTTCGCATTTAGATTGTTTTCACTTTGAGTTTTCTTTATTTCCTTGGTTTTGAATATATCACTTTCGATCTAAAAGCGTTGTTTGGCATGACCATGTTTTACTTGCCTTTTTCTCTGGTTGTAGGTTTTGGGCATCTTTGCGTAACTTTGTAACCTCGCTACTAAACAGCATGCGATCAATCCTCAGTCTCATCTTCCTTCTTCTCTTGTTCATCTTTATATTCGCTCTTCTTGGAATGCAGCTCTTTGGAGGAAAGTAAGTCAAATAAGGAAGGAAAAGGGTACATTTTATGCTCGACTTTTTCAACATTTTGCAACGATTGTAGGAAATCTTAGTCTTCCTTGCAGTTCCGATCTCGACATTGGATGCTCTACCCACTGAAAACGATTGGTGTCCTGACCACAGATACTTTGTTGGTGAACAGTGAGACCACTGCTAATCTTGACAATATCTGGGACGCCACTTACAAATAAATCTTCTTTGGTAACCTAGTTGGTAGGACAACTGACGGAACTGGCTGAGGCCAGAGTCCTTTCGTACAATCGATACCAACGGGTCTAGCGGATATGAGCTCGTGCATTGAAACCCAATTTGAAAGAGCGACCAAAAAGATCCTAATCCTTTCGCAGTACTCATTTTCTCTCTGTCCCGCGATAGTGACAAGAGCAAACAACCTTCCAAGTAAAGATGGCTCTTTAGGTCTAAATTTTAAATAACGAAAGCAACAACTGATGTTGTAGTTAAGGAACGCAGTACTAAGGTTGAATGGGTTTCTTGTTTCATTAATATGATAACGTAATGTTGCTGCAAGTAGCATTTTTGATTGACAGCTCCTGACAAATCATGTTTTGATTCACAGGTTCAGTGAACGTCAGGACGCTCCGCGCACCAACTTTGACAACTTCTTGAAAGCCATGTTAGCTGTTTTTCAGGTTAATATGAGATAATTTCTTTTACCTGACATACATAGTTAATGTGCATTCAACAATTTAAAACCTTCCTGTTCACTGAGCTCGATTTTCTTGTTCTCATAATTTCAGATTATGACGGGAGAAGATTGGAATACTGTTATGAATGATGGGATAGTTGCATCAGGAGGCCCGCATAAGATCTGGGGAGTATTGTCATCTTTGTACTTTGTTTCTCTGGTTATACTTGGGAATTGTATCCTTAACTGTACAAATTAATATGCAAAGCCATCAAATGATTTACATTGTGATAAAAATAAAAAACTAGCCTCCCATCTAGACCTGGAATTCAATGGTCGAAGAAACACTCCGTGGATGTACCACTGCTAGCTTTCTTTCAGTTATTTATATTCGACTGGTAACCCACATCAAGGGATGTCAAACACCGAGCACTGTAACAAAATTTTCTCCATGTGCTACGCTTTATTCATACAAAATTACCTTCCCTAACCAAGCTTCTCTCAGACACGCTACTAAACGTGTTTTTAGCCATAGCAGTGGATAACTTAGCGAACGCTCAAGCGGTAACGCAAGATGAAAAGGAAGAGCAACTACAGCTGGAGGCTATGAGGAAGAAACGAATGGAAAAACGTAGAGACGGGTGGGCCAAGGCCCGAACGATCCCCGTCCTTATAGGATTAGGAAAAATCAGCCATAATAAGAACGACAACGACAATCCATTTCGCAACATGAAGCCAGTATATCCGTCTTTGGATCATGTTTCTCCAAGGTAAGCAATGCTCACTAAAAGAACCTTTGATTAAAAGAAAAACAAACAACCATGATGCTTCCCTCTACGATTGCGTGTAGATAAAGCACCGGTCAGGGTTTTATTGTCAAAGGGAAGCAATGCCACCTTTTGAACGCTCTATCCTTCTTTCACTCTGGCCTAGCTTAATTTGAGAACCAAACTCAGGCTTGGGCCTTGTTGTGTTCAATATTTGAGGCTGCACTAATCATTCCCTCTGTTTTAGATCAGTGGTCAAAGGTAAACTGCGTCCGATGGCATGTATGTTAGTCTCGTTCACAGCGGTGCTTTGGATGTCATGCGACGCTTCTACCAAGAGCGATACGCGGTTGGGAGGAAGCACCATATTATCTGTTTATTCTTTTTCACTGCAGCACTTTTGAAAAGCATCGTTTTTTATGGTAAAAACTGCACTACTCAAGGCGGGGCGCCAGTTTTTTTAACCACAAAGAGTTTAAGTGAGAGTGCAAAAGCGTGTTCCAAAATTTACCTGATCAGGGCCATTTTGAGTAAGTTTCGATGGTTGTGACATGTCAGACACGACTTTCACGACCAGCCTTTGTATCATACTATAGCAATTTAGTTTGATAACTTGGAAAGATGATCACTCTTTTTTCCATTTCTTGATGCTTCTCCAAATTTCCATTTCAGAGGCGCACGATGGAACAAGAAGTCTGCGTTAAGGGTGGGGCAGCTTGGATTTTATTGAATTTGTTGACAATAAGCTTCACAAAAATCAAAAAATGTTCAATTAAATTTCTTTCTTATTTGTCAATTTCTACGTTTGCTTCACCAGGTGAAGATTTCTCAGGATGGGAACGGCTGCCTTGGAGCATCAAACGGAAATTTTTTAAACGGTAACTCAAGGGAAAGAGGAAATACAGACAGGGATGAAGAGGGAGATATGGCAGGTAAGGAAAACACCTAGGGCGGGGTGGATCGGTTGGATCCAGGAATTTTTGATGGAAGGAGGGAGAGATTTGATTCACAGAACACAATTTTTTTTATTCCTTTTGTACATTTATTTATATCTTTTTTCTTTGCATGATTTTTTCTTTCTCTTTTTTGGTTAATTGTGCCAAATAAACTACTTTAAGATGAGTACATTTTCGAAACTTCAAGTTGAGAAGTCGTATTTAATCTTATTGTAAAAAGTTTGGTTTTAGACAAGTAGTAAATTACCCCACGATACTGACAGCTCTTTCTTAAAGAATCCATCCCCCTACCTCCACTGTCTGATCTGTGCAAGGAGAGATCCTCTGCTCTAGGAATGAGGAAGTACTATGAGGGACAAATAAATACATTTTAAGAATGGCTATATTTGGCACCTCCTTGCAAGTCTGGGGCACTGTAAATGAATAATGAAAAAAGTGAGCAAATCACTGAAAAGCCCTTATGGTGGGGAGGCAACTGATTGGCTTTTTAGGCAACATAGGAGCCAGGCGAAGAAAGGTCCAGCTGAGTGGCAGAAAGGGGGGTTTGAACTTAGCATCTCAATATTTCAAATTAAGTGCTCCATGCCGCTTGGAAACACTGGCTCTACAAAGTTTTTTCCTTTTCCTATATTTTTCTTTCCTTTTTTTTCCGAAGAAGGTCGTCTCAAGTTCCCCAGGCTCCGTTTGTTTAATCCTTTAAATATTCCTTTCTTCACTTTTCCTGTCAATGAGAAATAATGAGAAAATTAATCGTGTTGCATCTTTCAGAGCAAACCGTGCCTCGAAGGACGTTGCTCAGCTTGCGTGATGCGGGAAGAATCATACGGAGGCGTAACGTGCACAAAAATGTACCAATCATACGAAAGAGTTCCATGTTTATTTTTGGTCCTGATAATCCGTGAGTAACATACAAACTATCCACATTTGTTATTATGTTTTTTTTCAAGGGAAAAGAAAGTTATAAGACTGAATTCTGCTCGCAGGCTTGCGAATGAATCTCTACATCCCGTTGTTTTAGGCAATCACAATTCGTAATGAAGCAACTTACACAGTCACCTGTAACTGACAATTGATCCAACCTCAGTTGATTAGATAATGTCCAAGGCTTTAGAAGTGTACAGCCCTCTTTACAGCATTTTGGCTTTGTGGCTGTTATTTTAAAATGACGGGCACGTTTTTCTGATTAACTCATTGCGACGCACGTTTGATTTTTCATGGGTGGAAATTGACGTGCTCGCTCTCCTCTCCTTTGCTGGAGATGATCCATTAGATTAAGATAAAAACCGTGAGGGTGAATGCCATTCTTCGGAAACGGATGGTGCAATATGATAAGTCCAAACCACCTCCAGTAAGATGGAAAACAAGAGAGGATGAGGTACACTCTCTTGCAGAAACCACTCGCTATACGGACTTACTAGAAGTAAGGCGCCGTGATGACAAAGTCCACATCTACCCAAAGATTCAAATTTCAGGACGTTATTTTTTGATATTTCACCTTTTGTAATGAATTTCAGTATTCGCCAAGCTTGCCATTGGGTAGTCAATCTCCGATATTTCGATGACTTCATTCTGGCAGTCATTTTAGTCAGCAGCGTTTTGTTAGCAGTGGAAGACCCAGTCGACCCAGACGCACCGAGAAACAAGGTGTGTAAGTCACGTGATATTCTTTGAATACCCTCTAGCTCTAAAGGGAAAAATATTGCAAATCAGTCTACATTTTATTTTGACAGGTGATCCGGTATTTTGACTATGGAATCACTGGGATTTTCGCTCTAGAAGTTCTCGTTAAGGTAATGAAGGTCACACCTGAAAACCAAGGCGATGAAAGAAATTAATGAGCAGTGGTACAGCGTATATCTTAAGAGCTGCAAGATTATCGTTTTTCAAATTCTCTACCGTTTTCTCTGAAGATCAAATGATAAAAGCAAAATGAGTTGGTACCTAAAGGGGGTAAAGTTCTAAGGTGCTGCGTCGGTGGGGAGTACTGCATGACAATAGGTTTCTTCAACTGAGTTCATAATGAAAATTGACAGTCGAAAGTTTGAAAAGTTGACGTTTTGAGCGTTAACCTTTCGTCGCAGCAACTGACACTGATTGCTAGGTAGTTGATATATGTTTGTCTAATAAATGTTTTTATTGTAAGTCCTACCACTTCTAAATTCCTTCCCACAGATGGTCGACCTTGGAGTAATCCTTCACAAAGGATCTTACTTGAGGAGTGGTTGGAATATAATCGATGCCTTCGTAGTAGCCTGTAACATCGCTGCCTTGCTGTTGGAGTAAGAATTTGCTTCCTTCTTTAAAATTGGATCCAATATCAGTGGATTATTACGGCATTATCTTGCAGTCATGCATGCAATTTGTCCCTACGCCTTTCAAACTTAAAAGGGTTGTTATTGAGGGAGAAATCTAAGTTTTCGGTTTTGCAACTCAGCTTTACGGGCGTCACTGGAGATTCCGAAGCTCTGCAGTAAAAGTCTCCACAACGTCCCATTCCTTATTTTAGGATTAAAGCGAAACCTTCCACTGTGCTTTGTAACTGCTTGAAAGCGGCCTTTATAAATTGTATAGTATATTTTTCTTTTTTCAGCATTAGAAGCAGTGGTCGGGATAACTTACAAAAAGACGCTATCAAATCTTTTCGTGTTTTGCGAGTGCTCAGACCCTTGAAGGCCATTAACAAGTCAAAGAAACTGAAGGTTTGTGTTGTTTTTCCTTTTTTTTTCTTTAAGGGATCCATACACGACTTACAAGAAACAATGATTATTTTGGTTTTTGTTTGAAATACGGTCAATTTTAGCCAAATAAATTTAAAATCTAACAACTAACTATGTTCCGATTCGGGAAAATATGTTGTTCTTGAAATTTTCGTCTGCTTTAGAAAGTCGCTGTTTTCGCCTAAGTAATAGAACCACATAGTTCAAATAGCTTTTGAAAAGCGTTTTATTAATGGAGCGGCTGTATAAGTTCATAAAGGAGACAATGTATGAGGCCTGGCTAAATACTTATTACAATTTTCAGGCTGTTTTTGAGTGTATGATGTACTCGCTAAAGAATGTCCGCAATATCCTCCTCATCACATTACTGTTTTACTTCATTTTTGCTGTGGTTGGCGTGCAACTGTTCAAGGTAAGGTTTAAAAAACCAACTCGTACACTTGTTTTACCCTAAAATCATCGCATTTGCAATTTTCTAAATTTCTGCTTTCATTTTAACAGTAACGTCTGCACTACGATTTTTAACCAAGAAACTAAAATAGTTATGGTATTATAGTTAATTAGTCCCTGTCTTAAGTTTTAATTAGATCAAATATGATTAGGGAAATCCCTGAGGTTTAAAAGAACGTGTCATGAACGTTTCTGACGTGATGCCAATGAGGCATCGATCCATTGCCCAGCAAAACGTAAACAACCCAGGACACTCGCCAAGATTCTAATTACCATTGTTCCCACGGCATCAGAGGTCGGGTCTAAAACAGACTTGAGTGCAACCATTTTTGAACTAGGGCCTATCGAAGGTATTTCAGAAGTATGCTCGTTTGGTCCCCTCTTGGTTCAAAGCACGTCAGTGGTGACCTTTTTTGTTCCTTTAGGGGAAATTCTGGCACTGCACGGATCGCTCCAAGATGACACGTGAAACTTGTCAGTGAGTATTTACCGTGTTGTTATCGGTGCACCTCCTTCTAAAGTTACACGCTAATCATATAGGGTAAACTGCTTCAAAGATTCATTTTCTTTTACTTTGTCAAAGAGTACATATCTTGAATGTTGGTGTCTATTTGTCAGTGATCTTTTCGTAACATGCCATTATTTCTTCTACAAACTCGTTTCAACAGTTTTTGTTCCTTATCCTTCGCCTCGTCACTTTTTTTACAGTCGCACACAGGTTGAGCTTTGCGGCTTTAAGTGCTTTTCAAATTATATTTGCAACGCAATACCATTTGAAATGCTTTAATTTAAAATGATTAGTTGATTTTTCCGTTCAGTTATTGTTCTCTTTTTACTTTCGGGGTAATTGGTTTTACCTTGTATGGTTAATTTGTTTCTTTTGCAGAGGAAACTATTTCAAGTACAATTTGGGCCTAAACAGTAAAATTGGTCTGAAGAATTTTGAGGTAATTTATCAAAATGATATTATTTCAGTCTCTAACTAGTTTTTTTGTGAACAAAGACATTCGTGGATAGCTAAGATAGCTTCTTAGAAATTTTATAAACAAAGTTATCAAATTGTTTTGTTGCGTCGGTGAGTATGTCAAAAAACATAGCTAACAGTTCATTATCAGTTTGATGTTAATGTAGGTATTCAGACAACCATCCCGAAATCTGGAAACCTGGCGTCAGCTGTTCTTAAAGCAAAGTTGTTACCTAATCTAAATATCATGAATCAACTCTTATCATCTCATGTCTGACTTGCTCTTTTCTTCGATCTAGAGGAGAAATAGTTATTCACACCTTGCCCCTGGCAGATAAATGGTCTTACTTTGGGCTCATAACTGTTTATGTGCCGGCATATATTCTTTTAATACAGGTTTCACCAAGAGAGTGGATGAAACACAAGTTTCACTTTGACAACGTGCCCAACGCCATGTTGGCTCTGTTTTCTTCCTCCACCGGGGAGGGGTGGCCTCAGTAAGTTTCTTTTCCTGTAGAGCTTCCTGTAGTTCTGTCGTGTCACTCGACCGCTCTTATCATTTGTTATACCATCGAATGAGGTGTACAAATTAATGAAAAAATGGAGTTTTGGCTAAAGTTGCTGAACTGATTGCTTGAAATGAGGAACAAGCAAAAAGAGAAGAAGAAACAGTCCATCAAATTTAATTGGATTTGCATAATCTTCAGATATTCAAAGGGCGGATAATCAAAGGATTTATCGCTATCCAGCGGATAAGTGATGACAAACCTTGCTGCACTATACACTGGATAAAGATCTATCCAGTGAGTTGCTTTATCCACCCCTCGAGTAAACGGGACCTTTTTTTCCCTTTACAGAGGCATGCATAATACTATTGACGCGACGAAGGAGGATCGTGGGCCAATCAAAGACTACCAGATACAGATGTCCTTGTACTATGTCTGCTTCGTTGTCGTTTTTTCTTTCTTCTTCTTGAATATGTTCGTAGCTTTAATTATCGTCACTTTCCAAGAACAAGGTGAGAAGGAGATGGACGGCTGTGAGCTCGATAGGAATCAGGTAATCCCCGTTTAGTTTTAACACTTTCACTCCCAAGATCTCGTTAGTAATTCTCTTTACTGTCGGCGATACAGTTCTCATGATGTAAGTTTGGAGAATTTGATATCGTATCAACTGATAATCCCCCATTGTTTATCCGCTTCACTTTTTAACTTGATATTGTATTTATATTGTAAGGAGTAATTCTTTCTTGGTCACTCATGTGAGTTTAAGGGGTAGCCCTTTCACACAAATGCTAATGTCCGATTTTGAACACTAGTGTCCTATGTTAGACAATGACAAGTACTGATCGTTTCATCGTTAAGCCGAAAAAGGCATTTTTTTCGAAGTTGTCAAAGGTTTATTTACTCTAAACAACAGTGTTAGGAGAAAGTAGCATCTTATCTTTCCTCACATCATTACATTAGGGTCCTGAGAATAAACAAAATTATCGCCAATTAAGGATGCCATTCTTTGATAAACAAATTTTTCTTGTTGGCACCACTCAGAACAGCTTGGCAAATATTCATAAAAGTACTAAGTGAAGGCACAAAAGATTAAAGCAAAGTTATCATTCATCTCCTCTATCTTTATCGCTTTCCAGCGAGACTGCATTCAGTTTGCAATGACAGCTAAACCAAGACAACGCTACATGCCAGAAAACAGAAGCACGTGCTTTTATAAAGTATGGAAAGTTGTGGATTCCAAACCATTCGAGATTCTGATCATGACCACGATTGTCCTCAACGCGATAGTTCTTATGGTCTCGGTAAGAGATTCATATCAAGAAAGCTGATATATCTAACACCACTCAATATTTCCGCTGTGTAACAGAAGTGAAGTGCAAGTTTTAAAGATAATTAGTTTTCAACTTCAAATTTTGATAAATGTTCTTCTTTCCTAATTGATAATTGAAAAATATAACCTCTGGATGTACGATTGGTAAATTTCTCAGTCTTATAGCGGTAGGGTCAGCTTTTTTTCTGTAAGACTTGGAGGGGTGCTGCTACATAGGCACCATAAAAGCATTTGAGGAGCTTTACCCAGCGTTACATGCTCTAATAAAATGAAAGTGGCGGCCAACCAAGCTAGAAGAGGACCTACGACCTCGCCGCGCCCTGATTTCGCAGCCCCTTTGTGTGGCCAGTGCGGCCAGTGTAGCCGAGCGGTTAAGAGCGCTGGACTTCTCTTCTGGTGGTCCTGGGTTCAAACCCCCCACCCAGCTACACCTTGGATTTAACTGCTCTTTGAAAATAGCTAACTGGTCTGTTTCCGGCCAGTTGGGATTTTTAAACACTATATTTATTAACATATTGTTTCTTTACAAATTGTTTGTACGGCCCTAAAAAGACGCATTGGGGTTGTGGTTACTTAATTTTTAATTATTGTTATTAGCTTCACAAACTAAAAGGTGTATCAGGTCGCTTTATTACTAATTATTTCTTTCCTTGACGATGAAGGAAGTGGTGACCAAATGAACCCTTTAATGACTCCTTGGCCACGCCCACAAATTATTTACCACACTTGCCTCTTTGCATTGTGTATCTCTCTGCAGTATGATGGCGCTAGTCCTGGATATGAGAAGGTCCTCAACTATTTGAACAATGCATTCACATTTGTATTCATGTTAGAAGCTATTTTGAAGTTAATAGCATTTAGACAGGTGAGAATGGCTCACTTAAAACCTTCCTCCGTTGCATTTTGTTTCTCAAAAGAAAATTCAGGTTAAGAACATCATTGCATTCCGTACTTCGTCTAACGATGGGCAAATATAAACGACACTTTGCCATACATCTCGCACGTCGTCCTCATTCCGCACCCTGCCCAGTTTCTTTTGGTTGCCCTTTAGCTGACCGAGTTCGAGCTCCATACTGTAAGTTACAGATCGAGTTTTTTCCTGTCGGCTTTATGGCCAACGGGCGAAGCATACGGGCCATAAATACGAGCAGAAAAAATAAGCAAACGGGCTATGAATTCGAACGGAAAAAAAACGAGGCTCCGTAACTTTCAGTAGGGACCGGAAAACGAGGTTAGTGTGATATTTATTAAATCGCTGGGTTCAATTTGAGGGAAATGTTCCAACTCCAACAAACTTTTGAATTTAGCACAGTGAAATACAATCGCTAAATTGACCAAACATAGGGCACGTACTAAGTGGAAGATATAATAACAAAAAAAATGATAAATCCTCAAGATTACTCAGAGAGAGAGAAACCTTTGAGTATTACTTTTACATGAATTCGTCTCTCATTCAGTTAAACACGCTAAATATCTATTTGTGATCATTTTCAGAATTACTTCCGGGATTTCTGGAATGTGTTTGACTTCATCATTGGAATCACAACTTTGGTCGAAGTGATCCTAGAGTTCACCAATGTAAGTAGAAATAAATTTAATTCATATCACATTTGGTTTTTTCATGTCATTTCAAAACAATTTATCTTAATAACATAAGGATTCCTGTGTCTCACTGTCACGATATTTGCGTGTTTTGATATATTTTCCACCAGTCTATGCGGACTCTTTCTTTTTACTAACGCACCTCAGCAAATTATATCGTTTCGTTTCGTTTTATTTTTCCTCATAAGTCGAAAGAGGACAACAATGCACTCCCGATAGACCCGAGTTTTTTCCGACTTTTTCGAGCTGCACGGCTGGTAAAACTACTCAGGCAAGGTTACACTATAAGGATACTGCTATGGACCTTTCTTCAGTCCTTCAAGGTAATTCAGTTGTGTCGCTGATTTCATGCCCTCTAACTAATGTACCGCACTAGCATGTAAGTGTTTTTACCGTACTTAAGTTATCAATTTTCATGAGTCATTTCATTTATTAATTTTAGGCTCTCCCATACGTGGTAATCTTAATCGGCATGTTGTTTTTCGTCTATGCTGTTATTGGGATGCAGGTAACGTTAAAACAGTGTTTTTATCATCATACTTTATTACGTATAGGGTGAAGTGGGAACCCTGGGAACATGAGCCCTTAGTCTGTCGCTGTGCTTGAATTTGTGTCTCAATGTATGGTCTGCGGGATCTCCCAGCACTGATTTATTCCTTTCCTGACATGTAATTGCAAGCTTCGCGGTAGCAGCAAAGCTGGTTTGAATAAGAGCACTCAAATGGGAAATCCCTTCAGCTTTGAAGGAAGTAGTATCGGCTGGATGGCGCATACAAGATCCGCCTGTTGTAGATCCTGAGCAGATTTTGATTAGTTAAGCGAATAATTAAAAGACTAACCAAATTATGATTGGATAATTCCATTCTTTCTGTTTAAGTTATTTGGTAGAATTCGTTTGAGTGAAGACTGGAGCAGGCAAATCAACCACCATAATAATTTCAGGAGTTTCCTCATGGCTCTTCAAGTTTTATTCAGGTTTGTAAATAATTATCATTTCGGGCGAGAAGCAATTTAGACAAGGTAAGCGCTTTCTGTGTCTATCCCCATTTTATTATCGCGCAAAAGCCACACTCCCAAGTACAGATACTAGCAGTAAGTGGGCTGTTTTCAAACTTGACGTTAGAAATAAGACAATTCATTTCTATCACGCTAGCATCCGTGTTCTTATCGTTACAGAGCATCCACAGGCGAGAACTGGCATAAAATAATGTTACATTGTTTTGACGATGCCAAGTGTGATTCTGATGAAAACAAAACATGCGGCAGCACTGTTGCATCAGTAATCTACTTCTGCACTTTTTACTTCTTTTGCACGTTTCTGGTAAGTACAATGAATAATCTTCAGGATATAACTATAACAAGAAACCAGTTTACTTTACATGAACAAAGACTTTAAAAACGTC